ACAGGATAATCCCATCCTTGAGACCCTTCTGGAAGTCGGGACCAATCGACAGGCCTGTGAGTCCCTCAATCCAGGTTCGGAGCTCCGCCTCCTTCTGAGGGTCATACTTGGACAGAAGCTGCAGGAGCAGAGGCATAGGATGGGGATGAGGACACACCCTGCAGAGGCTCCTGATGGGGTGAGGCTGGTGGCTCCATAGGGAGGAGACAGAGGGGTCTGAACGACCCCACACTACAGCGCTGTCCCATCGGCAGGGACACTCACAGGCACAGATAAACCACCCTCCACAGACACGCTCCTATCTCTCCCTGACAAACTCTGGCTCTGATCCACTTCCAGTGGTGCCAAACCCTTCTGTTCCCACTTCCTGTCTGTGGATGTGCCTGTTCTGGACATTTCACATAAGTGGAACCACACACTATGAGGCCTTTTTGGCCTTTTGCGTCTGGCTTCTTTCACTAGTAGCATGTGTCCAAGGTCCATCCATCCATGTTGCAGCATGTCAGTGCCTCATCCCTTTCCTTGACTAATATTCCGTTGTGTGTGTGGATGGACCCCATTGTGTGTATCCATGGACCAGTTAGGCCGTTTCCATCTCTCAGCCACTGTGAATCCTGCAGCTGTGAATATCCATGTACAGGTTTTCTTTCTTTTTCTTTTTTTTTTTTTTTTAAACATATTTTATTGATTTTGTACAGAGAGGAAGGGAGAGAGATAGAGAGTTAGAAACATTGATGAGAGAGAGAGTCATCGATCAGCTGCCTCTTGCACACCCCCTACTGGGGATATGCCCGCAACCAAGGTACATGCCCTTGACCGGAATCGAACCCGGGACCTTTCAGTCCCCAAGCCGACGCTCTATCCATTGAGCCAAACCAGTCTCGGCTGTACAGGTTTTCTTAAATGCCTATTTTAATTAGTTTGGGGACATACCTAGGAGTGGGATGGAGGGTCACGTGGTGATTCTGTTTAACTTACAGAGGGACCACCTAACCATTCTCTGTGCCTAGAACTGGCCGTACCAGCTACTGGCTCAGGGCCTTCGCACGTGCTGTCCCTTTTGACTCAGATGTTTGCACGCTGGGTCCCTACTTCCATCCAGTCACAGCTTGAAGGTCACCCCTTTGGAGAGGACTTCCCTGACCACGCGAGCTATGACGGCCCTCCTCGGGTACCCTCTCTCCCTGGCCCTGCCTCCTTATTTTCCTTCTTTTACCTCCACCTTCTGTTAAAATATAGCTTCTTGCTTATGATGCATCCTGCCCCAACCCCCCTTGAGCTTTGCTGTCCAGCTTAGTGTTGTCTCTGGATAAAAGTACTCCTGGTTGCCAAAACCGGTTTGGCTCAGTGGATAGAGTGTCAGCCTGCGGACTGAAAGGTCCCAGGTTCGATTCCGATCAAGGGCATATACCTTGGTTGCGGGCACATCCCCAGTGTGGGGTGTGCAGGAGGCAGCTGGTCAATGTTTCTGTCTCATCGATGTTTCTAGCTCTCTATACCTCTCCCTTCCTCTCTGTGAAAAAACAATAAAATATATTTAAAAAAAAAAAAAAAAAAAAGTACTCTTGGTCCCCCATCATCTCAACGGCTGAGAGAGTCTGAATGGCTGAAGCCCAGGGGAGCCCCAAGAAGTCAGGGAGACCCAGGCCAAAATGGGCAGAGTTGGTCAGCTCCAGGGCAGTCCTTAGGAGTGGGAGAAAGCTGAGCCAGCCCCCGTTCAGGACCAGACTGGATAAAACTGGGTGTTTTCTGCTCCAGACCCCCTGCCCACTTCTACTCACAGATCCCCACTTTTCCTCTCCTCCCATCCCCCAGGGGACTGAAACTTTTTGCAGACCTAATTCCTACTCAGCTCCGCCTCAACTCCCCCATGATTTCTCTTCCCCGTGCCTCAGTTTCCCATCAAAGTTTGGAGTGGTTTGCACAGGGGTCTCCTGAACCCTGGCCTGCCCCCTGGTGACTGCATATATACCCTCGTGATAGGATACGGAATCCCTCGCCCAGAGCCCAGGGGAGACAAAGGCAGGAGGCTGATCGGCTAACCCGATCCGCTGGGCCCAGCCCCTCGGGCCCGGGCTCCAGGTTCCCAGGGCTGGGGGAGCAGCCCAGCCCCGAGGAAGCTTTGTTCAGCTCAGAGGAATGAGCAGGGTCACGTCCTGAGGGCTGAGCCGGAGGCAGAGGGGCTGGTCTGGATGCCTAGAACGCCTGCCCAGCTGGGGCCCATCCATGGCGGCTGGAGGGGGCCAGGGTCCTGGGCAAAGGCGCCTGCCCCTCCCCACAGTGGCCTGAGCATTCTTCTCCACCGCAAACTGCCAGGAATGCAGCCACCGCCTTCTGCGAAATCTGCTAAATTGGGACCAGCTGTTCCCCATGGTCCAAAAGTCCGTCACACAGCCCAGAATCAAGTGGCCATTGCTCAGAGGGACACAATCGACAGCCGCCTGCCTCAGGCCACCCAGCTGGGGGTAAACTGAGGCACGGGGGCCAGACAGAGGTCTCTGGGTCTCTCCTGCTTTAAGTAGCTGGAAAAGTGGGCAGGCCCTGGGCTCCAAGCCATAGGAAGAGGGACAAGTGGCCGTGGCCAGCTGGTAGGTGGCCAACTCACACTCCAAACTTGCAAACTGAGGCCTGACTTCAGGCCGCCTCTGGCCTTACTCACTCGTGCAGGTATCAACCTGCCCCTCTCTCACTCCGCCTCTGAAGCTACCCGGCTCTCACATGCTTCCTGATGGCCAGGGGTAAACGCCAGGGCCAGGAGGACCAGGGGTCATCAGGCGCCGTTTGCAAGCTGTGTGGTCCTGGGCAGCTCTGAGCCCTGTGTCGGAGGGGGACTCATGGGGGGTGAGGGGGAGAGCCTGCTGAGTGACTCTTCTCTAGCTCATGGCTTCCTAAGCTTCAGCTTCCCCTTTTGTCAATGGGATAGAGGGAGGCTCCTAAGAGAGTTCTCCCTGGAGAGTTCTCCCTCCTGTGGCAGGTCCTAGGGTGCCAACTGCCTAAGGTGCCCGTTCGGGGCTGCCAGACTGTGCCCTAGTGCTTCCTTCCCAGGTGTCTGGTGGGAGGATGTATGTGTATGTGTGTGTAGGGGGTGTGTGTGTGCAGGAATGGCAAATGCCCCTCAGCTGGAAAGGCCCTTGCTTATCAGGCCTGAGACCTCCCCATGGATCTGGAATCACCTCCTGTGCTCCCCCTTCCCTAGATGGGCCAGGCTGTGTGACCCTCCAAAAGTGTCTGCCTCTCTCTGAGCCAGAACCACAAAGGTTTTCTTAAAAAGTGTCTCCCGTGGGCCCCACCCCGTGTGTCCAGGTTATGAAACACACATTTTAGGGGACCAGGCGTCCTTCGGACCCCTGTGCTGCTCCTTTGTCAGAGGGAGACAAAGAACATGTACAAGGAACAGCCCGAGCAGGCCTCCTCCTCCTCTCATCAACTTCCCCTCGCTGCCTCCCTCCCAGGTGTAAGAGGTTGGGAAATTCCTGTGGGGGTGCCCACACCCTAATTTACAAACAACATCTGGTCCACCCGCTTCCCCTCCTGCGGCTTAAGTGGCCCCCAAACAGACGTGTGGCCGGGGGAGGAGGGGCTGGCTGCCGGGCCTCCAGCCCCTCGGTTTTCTCTCGGGCCCAGGGCTGTGGGGTTTGGGGCGGGAGGGGGGGCCTGGGAGGGAGTCGGCCCTAATGACTCCTGGACGCTGGGGCAGTGCCAGGTCGCAGATCTCTCTGCTCCCCGGAATCCCGGGGGTCTCGGTGGGCGCCCCAGAACAGAACGGCAGATGCCGGACGAGGAGGGCCACTTTCCTCCCGGCGCCACTCTCCCAGATGTGCGGGAGCCCCTCACTCACCCGGTTCTTGACCTCGGCCGAGAGCCCGTACGAGGGGCCCTTGTTGAACTGCGTGGAGCTCATGCCGGCGGCGGCGGCGGCGGCGGGACAGGGCGGCGGGACGGCGGGACGGCGGGACCCCGACTTGGCGGGTGCGCCGGCCGGACCGGGCCCGCCCCCGCCCCCGCCGCTGATTGGCCCCCGCGCTGTTGCCCTTATAAGGCCGGGATGCGCTGGATTCCTGCGGCCGCGGACTTCCTGAGCTCCCGCCGCCCTGCACCCCGGCCGGCGCCTCCTTCCCGGGAGTCCCGGAGGGAAACTGAGGAAGGGAGCGGCGCGGGCTTTCGACGGCCCTCTCCCTGTCGGGGGGCCAGTAAGCGGCTCTCTCACCCTTTCTCGGTTTCAGTTTCCCTTTCTGCAGTGATGGCAGACAGGGAATTGTTGGACGGAACCCTAATTCCCTTGGTGCACGAGTGAGGGCTCCTCCCTGCCACTTAGAAGCACCCCCCAGTTTAGCCTCCCTCCAGGAACTCCATACGTGGGTGGTGGACAAAGAGAACTAGAGGAGTCCCCAGAGGAAGGGGTCATTGGAGCTGGGGCTCTGATGGATGAGTAGGAGTTTGCTAGTCCAAAAGGGATTCCTGGCAGAAAAAAAGGTGCAAAGACCTAGAGGGACCGACCATCAGCGATCCAAAGTGTGTAGAGATCAAGCAGATAGACTGGGGGATGGGGGATGAGAAGGGACCTTGAATTCTGGGCTAAGGAATGATGGGGGATGGAGGGGTGTATGAAATAGCAGAGTTGAAGTTGGGAGATGTCTTGGGGTTAAGGCTAAAGCTACCAAGCTACCAGACCAGACACACAGTTGGTGCTCAATAGGTGATGTTTGCTTGTACAGATAAACCAATCAATTAATAAATAACAGAATAAATTAATTCACTTATTCAGTAATTTGTTCATTCATCAAAAGTTCCCTGACAGCCCTAACTGGTTTGGCTCAGTGGATGGAGTGTCAGCCATTCCGGTCAATGGCATGTACCTTGGTTGTGGGCACATCTCCAGCAGGGGGTGTGCAAAAGGCAGCTGATTGATGTTTCTCTCTCATCAATGTTTCTAACTCTCTATCCCTCTTTGTAAAAAAAATCAATAAAATATATTAAAAAAAAAAAAAAAGTTCCCTGACACAGCCTCTGGGCCAGTTCCTTGCTAGGCAGTTCCTGGCTTCCACGAGACCTTAGCTCCTGCCCATCCTTGGAGAGACAGAGCCAGGCACGAAGTCCCCTGCCCCATGTGAACAAGTACAGCACAGAAAAAGGGGTCTGTGGTGGAGGAACCTGGAAGGGAAGTCGAGGCTCCACTGGCTGGCTGGATCAAGAAAAGTTGCACATAAAAGGAGACACGAGATGGGGTTCTGAAGCATGTATAGGAGTTTCACACATTTGACAAGTGGCTAGTTGGACTCTGTGAGGGCTCAGAGATGACTTACCGATGCCCCTTCCCTGGGGAGCACTCATCGCAGGCTCCCCACTCTCTCAATGTTTGCTTCCTCTTTCTCTGGCTGTCATTCTCCCATTCCATCTATCTGAAGACTCCTTTCTTCAGGGTTCAAGTTCCAGCTGGATGGTCTTGGGGGAGTCCCTTCCCTTCTGGGTCTCAGTTTCATCACCTGTGAAATGGGGACCAGTGAAAGTGGCAGGGTCAACAATGAGGCAATGCAAATCTGAGTATGGGAACAGTGCGGTTTTTTGGTGTCTAGGTGAGAGCTGTGAGGCTGGTAGGGGCATGGGGTGTTCAGGTAGATTCCATGCAAGTCCTATTGGGCAAGAGTTGGGCCCCAGGGCGCTCTGGAGGCACTATGAAGAGGTCTTAAGACAGCCTGCAGAGGTCAGTGGCTGCTGGCAACATGGCCATGGGTCTCTTTGCCATGCCCTGGCCCCTGGTGCTTGTCCAGGGGGCAACCACTTACTCTCTAGGGATACCATCTGAGTTGGGTGTCTCTGAGAAGTTGCATGTGACCCCCACCTATGCCCATAGCCCTGTGTTCAACTCACGCCAATTCCAGCATGTTAGCAGGGCTGAATCATCTGGGATGGCTGAGGGCATTTCCTCAAACCTGAAAAGGATGCATAAATGATTGCTTGCTGCCAGACAGCTGAGGGCATCTTAATCTACAGGTTATTGCCTCTTACTAGCCAAACACCTGAACAGCTTTAGGCAGTTCCTCCAATCTGACAATGTATTCAATATACCAAACTTTACCCTTTGATATGTGTATCTACCTTGCTTTAGGACAACTTGAGTTAATAAAAAGCAAGGGGTCCAGAGAGGGCTTGGTTCCTACAGCCAAGCACCTCTGGCCCCATAAAAAGCCTTCCAAAATTATGTTTTGTCTCTGGACTCTCGATTAATTTACACACAGCACCTTCTCCAGATTCCTGAACCCCTTATAGATGCTAGATTAAGACCACCATCAATGCCAGTCCAGGCTGGCATACTCACAGGACAGCAGCCTGCCCACATCCTGGTGTGCTGGGTCCCCCTACAGCATTTCTATTAGGGCGGCCAGGAGCTGAAACAGAAACAAGAAGACTGAGCCTTGATAGCTCCAAACCCTAGAAACACCTGCCAGCCTGTGCCCCTGCTGGCAAGCCCAGCAAAACCACCCAGCCTCAGTCTCCACCTGTGAAATGGTCTGCTTCCCAGCATTGATATTCACCACACGTCCCCAAATGTGCCTGGGACGTTGTGCCACATAAGAGCTGGCACCTTAGCCCTAGCCAATGTGGCTTAGTTGATTGAGCATTGTCCCATACACCGAGGTCACTGGTTTGATTTCCGGTCAAGGCACATGGCTGGTTGCAGGTTCACTCCCCAGTATGGGGCATGCAAGAGGCAGCTGATGGATGTTTCTTTCATAGATGTTTCTAGTTGTGTTGTGAGTGGGAAACAAGCCAAATTTCAAAGACATGGTCCAGAAAAAGGTGTCACAAACGTCATTGGTCATTTTTCATATTGATCACATGCTAAAATGATATTTTTGAGATATAGAGTGATGTGAAATATTTTACAAAACTGTTCTTAATTCATCTAGAAAGTTGAAAATTATGTGTGTGGTTTGTCTTTTATTTCTACTGGCTGGGGCTGTTTGGACCCATAGGCCAAATCCAGATACTGCCTTTTTTTCTTTTTTTTGGTGGCCCATGAGCTAAGAATGGATATTACATTTTTAAGTGGTTGAAAATAATTTTTGTAAGTACATTTTTATTAATTTAAGAGAGGGAGAGATAGAAACATCAATGATGAGAGAGAATCATTATCGGCTGCCTGCTGGACACTCACCACTGGGAATTGAGTCTGCAACCTGGGCATATGCTCTGACTGAAATCAAACTGTGACTTCCCAGTTCACAGGTCAATGCTCAACCACCTGACCACAGGGTGAAATAATTTCTTTAAAAAATACTATTATAGCTCTAGCTGGTCTGGCTCAGTGAATAGAGCATTGGCCTGCGGACTGAAGGGTCCCTGGTTCAATTCCTGTCAAGGGCATATACCTTGGTTGCTGCACACTTCTGGAGGTGTGCAGAAGGCTGCTGATCGATGTTTCTCTCTCATCAATGTTTCTAGCTCTCTATCCTTCTCCCTTCCTCTCTGTGAAAAATCAATAAAATACATTAAAAAAAAAAGCACACACAAAAAAACCCATAACACCTGTGAAGCACAAGGAAGTGAAAGGCAATAAAATGAGGTGTGCTTGTAATTATAGGACCTCTGCTCAAGGAACTCAGACTGATCCTATAGATATAGAATAAAAGCCTAATATGCTAAGTATCCAGTTGTCTGGTTGTCCATTCAACCAATCAAAGTGTAATATGCTAATGATATGCTTAGTCCACTCAACCACTCACTATGATGTGCACTGACCACCAGGGGGCAGGTGCTCTGATCAGTAGATTAACTTGCTGCTGGGGTCTGGCCTGATCAGGACTGAGCCAGATGGGCAGGACATGCCCTGGAATCCTCCCTCAATCCCTCCCCAACTGGTCAACCTCCCATGTTCCTCCCTAGCCCCAATCATGCACTGGTGGGGTCCCTCGGCCTGGCCTGCACCCTCTCGAAATCCAGGACCCCTCGGGAGATGTCAGAGGGCTGGTTTCAGCCTGAACCCTCAGGGATCTCCACCTGGTTCCTGCGCAGTCTTCAAATCCACTGGGGAAAAATAAAGGCTGGTGGCAAAAGCCCAGCTTGACAAACCACACTCCCCTCACTGCAAAAGCCCAGCTTGACAAACCACACTCCCCTCACTGTAAAGGACTGTCGCTGGTTTTTACCAAACTGCCCAACCTCACCACCATATTGTGGTAAGAAGCAGACATGGAATTGAGAACCGCAGCAACTTACACAATGACCATAGTCCCTGTTGGAACTCAGGTCATTTAAAGGCTACCAGGGAAATTACTTTTCAGTTAGAGAGATATAGTTTACACTTCCATTTGACCTGCCTCCGTACAGCGCCTCGTCAATGAACATTTCCTACCGTTCTACTTATTTAAGGTGTCTTTGATCACGTAAAACCCTCAGATACTAACTAGTTTTACCGTCCAAGCATGTCCCAGAAGCCGCGGGGTATTGTGGGGCAGCATGTAAAAGACCGGGCCTCCGCAGCCCCGCCCCCCGGCGCGCCCCGGTGAGAGGGCGGGGCCGCCGCGGGCCCTCCGCCCGCATCCCTACGTTCCCCGCGGGCGTGGAAGGGCCGCTCTTTCCGGTGTTGCGACTCGCTGGCGTCAGCAGGGCCGTGGAGGCGGAAGATGGCGGCGGCGGCGGCCCTGGGGCCCTGAGGAGCGCGGCGGCGGAGAGGACGGCCGATGGCGGCCGGGAGGCGCCCTCGGGGACCTGCGGGCCGTTAGGGTGCGACCCTGGGCGGCATGTCGGAGCACGCGGCGCCCGGAGCCCCGGGGCCCGGGCCCAACGGCGGCGGCCCTGCCCCCGCGCGCGGGCCCCGCACCCCCAACCTAAACCCCAACCCGCTCATCAACGTGCGCGACCGGCTCTTCCACGCGCTCTTCTTCAAGATGGCAGTCACCTACTCGCGGCTCTTCCCACCCGCCTTCCGCCGTCTCTTCGAGTTCTTCGTGTTGCTCAAGGTGACCGTGGCCCCGACCCCCGACTCTTGACCAACGGCCGGATCCACCCCCCAGACTGGCAACCTCTGACCCTGGTCCCGCCCAGGACAGCCAGCCAGCCCCCTTCACTTGGAGGTCTAGACCGGGTCCGATCCGTTGGGTACCCTCCCCTTTTGTCTGCCGCCCTAGCTCCTGACCCCCTTTTCTGACACCTCGGAAGACCCAAGTCTCTCCCTGTGGGTGGTACCTGATCCCGACTCCAGGAACTCCCGGTCCTCTCCAAGCAGCACCCATGCTCGGCCTCACTCTTCCTCTGATGGCCCAATTCCTGGAGGCCTGGAGCCTTGTTCTGACCTGCCTAGGACCCCTGCCAGCCCTACTATGCACGTGGGATCCTCAGCCTTGGGAGGACACCCCTTCCTCCCCTCCCCCCAATCCTGCCCTCTCTTACCTGACCTGGCCCACGTCCCCAGTCCTCAAACTGGGAAAGATTCCAGACACTCCCTGTTCCCCTTAGGCCACACCCTAGGACCACCCACCTGCACTAGAAATGTGCTCCCCCTTCGGTCTCTTCCTTCTGCATCTCCTTTTCTTGGGCTCTTCCCCTCTTTGGGACCTTCCACCAGTCCCATACCCCAACTCTTCCTCCTCTTAGCCTTACAGAGGAATGTGATCCAGCTGAGGTCACCTTACCAGGGTTAGTGACAAAGTCACAGCCATTGCTATTACTCATGTCATAGCAAGAGGCTGTACACAAACCTCCCTCCCATCCTCCCTCAGGTGGCATAGAGGGTTCAACCATGTGTGCAGCTCAGGAAGGACCGCCATTGATCTGGGTTCCTCCAAGAAGTGGGCTGGCTCGCTCAGGTGTGGGCCCAGAGCTCACTGGGCACCAGGGTTCTGGGTTCCTTAGTGGAGGGATGGTTCCAGTTGTTGTTTGGCCCAGCTGAGAAAAGGGAGAAACAGGCATTTAGTTTGCCATCCGAGTACTGCCAGGGAGGGGCTGGGGCGCAGACATCGCAGACATTTGGGTTCTACTGTTAGATGTGGAGGCACTTGGGTTGCTGGCCGGCCCCCGGGCCTGGAGAGCGGGGCTGGGAGCTGGACATGGAGGCTTCCAGGTTAACTGAGTGCTTCCTGCCACAGCTATGGGTCCCAGGCCCTGCCCCCTGCACTTAAGAACTCCTATCACCAGCTTAATGGTCCCCAGACACTATGTTGGAAAGAAAGGCTGGGGTGCAAGCTGGCTTGTAGGAGGCCTCCCACACTGCCTCACCCAGCCCCATCCTCACCTCTCGGAGGCCTCAGCTGTTCTGCTGAGACCTGAACGACCAGGTGCTACAATGTCTGTCTGCTGAGATCTTGGTGATGCTCTAATCTCCATCCTTCAGTGGCACTGTTGTCTGCAAGTGAAGGAAACAGCTTACATTGGCCCAAGAGAGATCTTGGAGCTTACGCAACTGGGGAGACTGGGCTGGCTGGATCCAGGCATGCAGCAGTGTGCTCAGAGAAGGGGCCTCTCCCATCCTCAGGTCTCAGCCACTGCTGCCAGCCAGGAGTCGGTGCCTTCATGACCTGGCCTTTGCCCACTTTGCAGAGCAGACTCCAGAGGGGAAGCCAGGTGTCCACAGCTGGCATTGGTACTACCCTTTGGGGCTCATGGCCCCATAGGGATGGGGTTCTGGTGGTTGTGTAGCCATGGGCAACTCACCAGCTGCCTGAGTATCAGTGTCCCTGTCAGAGGGCAGAGAAAGGCTTTGAGCTCTGGTCTCTGTGGCCCAGGCTTTTCCAATCTGTGGTTCTGGCCCACACAGTGAGCTGGTCCTGGAGAGGAGTCATTCGGTAGGAGCTTGTGTGCTGGCCCCTCCAAGGGGTCACCCTGGTCTCTGACTGAGTAGCCCCTGGCGTCGCCAGTTCCCTGACATTCATTTTCTCCTGGGAAGGCTGGCACCACATGGGACCAGCTGGGCCCTTTCCCCCAGGGCAGGGCAGTGGGTGGGATGCATGGGGTGATGCCGTGGACATGGCCTCCAGGCTGGGAAAGTAACACTTATCCAACTGGGCCCCCTGAGAAACAAGATTGTCAGAGGTGAGTTCTTGGGGAGGAGGGTGTTCCTAAATAGATCCAAATGGAGGTCCCTTGGATGCACTTTGAGTCGGGCAGAAGTTGCTGTTGGTGACTTAAGGCAGGGACCCCCCTCAGCACTTCTGATATCAGGCCACTTGCTCTTTGTGGGGGCTGTCCTGATCACTGGAGTGCTGAGCAGCAGCATCACCTGGCGCCACCCCCTGAGGATAGGACCACCAGATGAGACCCCTGCCATCCCCATTTTACTAATGGAGAAACCCTCAGAGAGGCAGAGCAAGCTGGCCCTGTCATCATGGGAGGGGTGCAGAGTGCTTAGCGGGCAAGGAAGGCTGTTTTTAGCTGGTGATGTCAGGGGCACTGTGAGGACAGGGCAGAGTGTGAGGCAGCTGGGCAGGCCTCTTGGGGACAGTGGGAGCCCAGCAGGTGGCCCAGGGGTGGTGGCACCTGGGCTGGGCCTCCCAGGGAATAATTCCACACGCACATAAGAGTGCCTCATCCTGGCTCATAGAGCAGGTGGTCAGGATCTTGGACACCCGCAAGACCCTTGCTGCCAGGAGAGGACGGTGGGTTTGGAGCTTAGGGAACTCAGAGCCCTGGGGTTCCCTTCCTTCCCCAACAAAGCTCAGGCCTCACTTTCTGGTGGGGCCCCTGCCCCCAGGCCCTGTTCGTGCTCTTCGTCCTGGCCTATATCCACATCGTGTTCTCCCGGTCTCCCATCAACTGCCTGGAGCATGTGCGCGACAAGTGGCCACGAGAGGGCGTCCTACGCGTGGAAGTACAGCAGAACTCAAGCCGTGCGCCAGTCTTCCTGCAGTTTTGTGACAGTGGTCACAGCAGCTTCCCAGAGCCTGGTGGCCTGGAGCTGGAAGAGGAGGAGGAGGAGCTGACCATGGAGATGTTTGGGAACCACTCCATCCAGGTGAGTGTGCAGAAGGATGTCACTGTTGGGGAAACTCTGGACCTTGCAAGGCCTGGCACTCGCCTCGGGATGGGATGTGGGTGCTGCACAGCAGACTGTTACCTGAAAGGGCTGGCCTCATTCTGGGGATGCTGAGGAGGCTCCCGGAGGGTTTGGGCTGAGGGCCAGATGACACGGCTGCCCGCAGGGTGGGTGTGTGGGGCCCCATCCCCAACTTTGGGGCACAGACACGCACCTGGAGATGGCCAGGATCTTGGTGCTGAGTGAGGGTCTTCTCATGAGACGCCGGTCAGAGGCCCTTCCGCCCCAGAGGTGGAGGGCATTCTGGCAGAGGCTGGGGTTACAGTGGACAGGGCGGAGTGCATCTCCTTCCAGGTGGCAGGAGAGGGGCCTCTGTGCCAGACAAGGGCCCACTGACACCCTGTCTCCTGGTGACCCACAGTTTGAGTTGGACATTGAGCCCAAGGTGTTCAAGCCGCCCGGTGGCCCTGAGGCCCTGAATGATAGCCAGGAGTTCCCCTTCCCTGAGACACCCTCAAAAGGTATGTGTTGCTAAGATGTCAGGGGGAGTCACACCCTTGGACATGGAGAATGGCCACTCTGAGCGTCCATCTCCCTGTCTGTCAGCAGCATGTGAGGCAATAGAGGTGCTCCTGGGCGCTGGTCACACTCCCTCTCTGGCCCCGCCTCTGAAGGAGGGAGGTGGGGTTGGCTGAGGCTCTGAGGTGACAGGCCATTCTCACCCACAGTGTGGCCACAGGATGAGTACATTGTGGAGTACTCGCTGGAGTACGGCTTCCTGCGCCTGTCCCAGGCCACACGACAGCGGCTCAGCATCCCAGTCATGGTAGTCACCCTGGGTGAGTCAACCTGGGGAGGGCCATGGTAGGGAGTGATCCAGAAGCACTTAAAGATGGAGGTCTGACCTGGCCCAGCCAGTGTGGTCAGTAATAGAGCATCAACGCATGAACCAGGAGGTCACAGTTTGATTCCTGATCAGGATACATGCCTAGGTTTCAGACTTGATCCCCAATGGGGGGCGTGCAGAGGCAGCAGATTAGTGATTCTCATCATCGATATTTCCATCACTCTCCCTCTCTGAAATCAGTCCTATATAATAAAAGGCTAATATGCAAATAGATTGAACTGTGGAACCACCGGTCGCTATGACGCACACTGACCACCAGGGGGAGATGTTCAAAGCAGGAGCTGCCCCCTGGTGGTCAGTGCACTCCCACAGGGGGAGCGCTGCTCAGCCAAGAGGCGGGCTCTCGGCTAATGAGTGCAGCAGCAGTGACCGGAGCCTCTTCCGCCTCCGCGGCAGCACTAAGGATGTCCTACTGCCGGGTTCAGCCTTCTTCCCTAAGCTGGCAGTTAGACATCCCCCAAGGGCTCCAGGACTGCGAGAGGGTGCAGGCTGGGCTGAGGGGACCCCCCCCCCCTCAAGTACATGAATTTTGTGCACTGGGCCTCTAGTAAGAATATATTTTTTTAAAAGACTGAGGTCTGGGACCATCCCCCAGGGCCTGACCATCACAGCACTGCCCAGGGGATGGATATGGGCCAGTGGGGGCCTTACCAGGTGCCCCCCTTTTGGTGTGCCACCACAGATCCCACACGGGACCAGTGCTTCGGGGACCGCTTCAGCCGCCTGCTGCTGGCCGAGTTCCTGGGCTATGATGACATCCTCATGTCCAGTGTGAAGGGTCTGGCCGAGAACGAGGAGAACAAGGGTGTGATTGGGACCAGGGCTGGGAGAGTGTGGGGCACAGTGTTGGGGGCTGGAGGGCAGACCGTGGTGCTCACAGCCTTCCTGTCTAGGCTTCCTGCGGAACGTGGTGTCGGGCGAGCACTACCGATTTGTGAGCATGTGGATGGCCCGAGCATCCTATCTGGCTGCCTTCATCATCATGGTCATCTTCGTGAGTGCCCTGATACAGGCTGGGCAGAGGGTGTGGGGCAGGGCCCTTCCCTAGCCTACACGCCTTCCCTTACAGACCCTGAGCGTGTCCATGCTGCTCCGCTACTCCCATCACCAGATCTTTGTCTTCATTGGTGAGTCTCCCAGCCTGGTGGCGGGAGGAAAGGTGGGGTCAGCCTCAGGCCCCCATGGCCCCCTGCCCACCCCATCCCCCAAGGGGCGCCTCACCCGGTCTGCCCGCCCGCCACCCTCTGCCCGCAGTGGACCTGCTGCAGATGCTGGAGATGAACATGGCCATCGCCTTCCCTGCAGCGCCCCTGCTGACTGTCATCCTGGCCCTCGTGGGTGAGGACCTCTCTGCCCACCATTCTGCCTTCTCACCCAGTCCCTACACCCACCTCCCTTGTTCCTGGCCTTCCCACCATGCCCACCGCAACCCACGGTCTCCTGTAGGGATGGAGGCTATCATGTCGGAGTTCTTCAATGACACCACCACCGCCTTCTACATCATCCTCATCGTGTGGCTGGCTGACCAGTATGATGCCATTTGCTGCCACACCAACACCAGCAAGAGGCACTGGCTGCGGTGAGTGCCACGGGGGTGCAGGCGGGGCCAGGGTGGGATATGGACTGGCGGCACCTCACTGTGCCCCCTGCAGGTTCTTCTACCTGTACCACTTCGCCTTCTATGCCTACCACTACCGTTTCAACGGGCAGTACAGCAGTCTGGCCCTCGTCACCTCCTGGCTCTTCATCCAGGTGAGGGGCCCGCCTACTCGAGGTCCAGCCCCTGGGAGGTCTGGCTCTGCTGGGCCTGACCCATGCCCACTCTCCCTCCAGCATTCCATGATCTACTTCTTCCACCACTATGAGCTGCCCGCCATCCTGCAGCAGATCCGCATCCAGGAGATGTTGCTACAGACACCACCGCTGGGCCCTGGTACCCCCACGGCGCTGCCGGATGACCTCAACAACAATGGGGGCGCCCCGGCCGCTGCACCTGACCCTGCCAGCCAGCCTCCCGCCCTGGACCCCGGCTCACTGGGGGCTGGTGGTGTCCCCAGGCCTGTAGCTGAAGCACCCAGCTCCCTGGTAGCTGCGGCAGCCTCAGTGGCTGCCGCGGCCAGTAGTGATCTGGGCTGGATGGCAGAGACAGCTGCCATCATCACAGACGCCTCTTTCCTGTCTGGCCTGAGCGCCTCCCTTCTGGAGCGGAGGGCAGCTAGCCCCCTGAGCCCGGGTGGGGGATTCCCTCGGGGCCTCCAAGCCCCCCCGGACAGTGTGCCCCCAAGCGACTCCCCAACACCTGACACAGGCCCTCTGGCTGCTGGAGTGAGTGGGCCCATCCCTGAGTCCCCAGCCCCAACAGATGAACCTTCGGAAATTGGCTCCTAAGTCCTGGGCAGCTGAGTGCCTCTGTCCCTGGCTGTCCAGGCCAGCTGGGTGTGACCTGGCTGGAGCCCTTGGGGATCAGGGAGGCTGTCCCTGGTGTCTGGGATTGCCCAGTTGGCCTTGGGTTGGGGTCCATCTGGTTTGCCCAGGGATGGGCTTCTCTCCCCCGGGTGTGGGGCTTGCCCACAGCCTGTCCCTGCCACATTTGTGGTGGGTCCCCTCAGCCAGCAAATCAAGGCAGGCTGATGAGCTAGGGCAGGAAAAGGGGTGGGGGTCTCCATAGAAGGCTCTGGAAGGGGTTGGAGTAAGGTCTGGAGCAAGCTGTATCTAGGGGGAGAGCCTAGCACGTCTCTGAGCCAGGTGAACACTGGTGGGGCTCCTCACTGTCCTGGGCACTCAGCTGGTGCTCTGTTGTGCGCAGTGCCTTTTCCACAGCCCCTGCCCCCACATATGCGTGCCAGGGCTGGGGTATTGGCACAGGGACACAGTGTGTGGGCGCCAACTGTCAAAAACAGCAACCAGGCGCTAGGGTCCAGCCTTGCTCCTGCTGGAGAGAGCCAGCAGCCCAACTATGTCACTCGGTGAGGACTGCAGAGTGCTCATTCCATTCTATTTAATTGCAGTGTACAAAATTGTGTTTGTATATAGAATAAACTGTCTGTTGACAGCACCTAGCCAGTGTCTGCATGCACCAGGTTCTGGGATTAGCTCCTGCAGGATTCGCCCTCATGCAAAGCCAAGTGGGCTGGGTGTGGTATGGCATGGCCAACTCCCAGCAATGAAGCAGGTGGAGACCACTGGAGGCCTAGAGCAGGCACAGGGGCCCATCGCAGCTGCCACCTGGGAGCTGGGCCAGGAGCTCCCCACGCCGCACCAGCGCCTGGCGGAGCCTTGAACGTGCATCCGCAATGTGCTGCTCCAGTTCCTCCAGCTCCCCTGGGCGGGGGGCGCCAGTGGGCAGCATGGTGGGTGGCTGGCCGTTGGAGCAGAGCTGGATGGGACCCTCAGGTGGCTGGTTCCCCTCCACACCTGTGCCCACTACTGATGGAGCAGTGGCCAAGGTTGGCTCCCGAAGGAGGTGCAGATGACGCTCCCTCACCATGGCCTGGCACACCCGTGTCCAGTTGCCCTGGCCTGAGCGGGCAGTTGGTATGTCTTGTTGCTTCTCCAGATCCCTGGGAAGAGGATGGATGGGGCTGGATCACTATCCCCCAAGGAACGGGTGGTCCCTCTGCTTTCTGGGGTCAGGGTTCCTGAGAGGCTGTGAGGGGTGGGAGGCATGGACTTGGTGGTTCGGCTCTGCAGGTGTAAAATGGCAGGCCTGAGGCGAGTGCAGGAGCTGCGGAGTGGGAGCCCCTTACCTTGGCTCAGGCTCTTTCTGCTTTTCCACAGGCTCTGTGTTGAGGGCGAGGTGGATTCTCTGTGAGCCAGATAGAGGCTGTGTTGAGTCAGGTTGGGAGGTTACCCATGCTTGCCCACCCTGTGATATCTCCTCACCTGACTCGTGTGTAGCCAGTACTGCAACCTGTTACCCCTCCGGATACAGGGCAGCACCAGGTGGTAGAAGATGTGCTCCCCCAAAGAGCTGAGCAGGGCACTACCCAGGCCCAGGCAAAGCAGCACAAAGAGACCGGAGAAGTGGTAGATGCCCATCTGCAGGGTCTGCAGAGGTGGGACACAGGCACAAGCCCTTCATGGTCATGGTAGACCCTTGGGGAGCCCTGGCCTGGAGGACAGTTTGGGCCTGGGGCTGTACAGTTGGATTGGGAGGCCAGGCCTCCATATTTTGGAGCAAGGTTCTAAGGAGCTGGGATTTTGTAGGATGAATAGGACTGCACAAAAGCAGACAAATACACATCTTACGATCAGGGGGTTGGCCACCACAACCCACAGGCTCAGGGCCCCCACACTCTACCCCCACCCTGTATCCCAGGCCCTGTCCCACCTCTGTGACAGCGAACACCCGCTTCCCGCAAGGTACCATCTTGTACCACTTGTCATGCAACAGATCGATGAAGCCAGAGGACTTGTAGCGGCTGATGAACTCGGACAGGTTGGAGGTGAGCGGTGAGTTCTGAGGGAGTCCAATGCCATAACCTGATGAAGGCCAGGAATTGGGTTGGGGCCAGACTGGACACAGCCCAGGGGAGCTGTGCCCACGTTGAGCCCGCAGTGGCTCCCTGCTGCTGCAGGGTCACTGGTCTCAGTGGCCTCTCACCCTCAATGGCAAAGGGCTTGCCCACAGTCAGCAGTTTGCAGTCGGCGTCGATGGAGACCTCATAGTCCAGGAGCGACTTGTCCATGATGAAAGCATTGAGCTTGGGGGGGTCGCTCCTGTGGGGATGTGGAGGGGGTGAACACCTGCCCTGCAAGGCCTCCCTGCCTCCTCCCCGCCCCCCAATCCTGCTGTCTGCCCTGGCCTCACGTGAGCATGGCAACGCCGTGGGGTGTTGTGGGTATGCTGTGCTGCCGCATGTGCGCGTGCATCTCAGGGAAGCTCTTCTTGATGTAGGCCTCTGCGCTGCTCTCCCACACAGTGCCGAAGCGGAAGCCCTGGGGCGGGTGGTGCAGCTGTGGGCAGGTGAGTGGTCAGTGCCAGGCCCTTCTCTGCACTCACCTGCATTCCCACCCGACTGCTCTGGCCTCCCACCCAGGCCCAAAGCTCTTAACCAGCGTCTCCCCTCCGGCTGACACGAGGCCAGGTCATTTTCTGTGGAGGATGGTCCCAGGCACTGCAAGTGTAGAGCAGCATCTCTGGCCCCATCCTCACAATGCCAGGAGCGCCCCCACCGTGAAACCACCAATACCCCAGACATGACCTAGTGTCCCCTGTGGGCAGACGCTACCCGAAGTCTATCACACAGACATGGCCCTGAGCTCCAGACTTCCTCCACTTCCTCCAGGGCTCCTTGTTCTCCCTCCTTTCATCCCATGGCCTGTCCTGCAAATCCTGTGGGGCCAGCTCTGCCTAAGAACACCCACAGCCATGCCCTGGTCTGTGGTGGTCAGAGCATTAGCCTTCTCATCAAAGGGCCACGGGACTTAGCTTTCTGGCCAAGGGCAAATAACTAATTTTGCTGCTGTTAATGAATCGTAATGCAAATATCTGTTTTCCGATGGTTTTAGACTCTACAGCAGTGGTTTGAGACACACAGGTTGAGAACCGCTAGCAGGATTGCCTAAGACACATGTGTCAAACAGAAGGCCCGCGGGCCAAATCCGTCCCGCCAGGCCTTGCAATGTGGCCCGCACCGCGCTGTCATCACTGCACTCCGCTGCGTTTCCATCACAATGACAGTTTATGACTGTTCAGTAAACCATTCGGCCCACGATTTAGGCTGGATTTTAGATTTTGGCCCCTTCTCTGATTGAGTTCGACACCCCTACCTTAGAGGATGCAATCAGCCAGATTCAAACAGTAGGAGATGTTATGAACAACAAAAACCCAACTATTTCTTCAATAGACACTAGGAAGTAAATGAGAGGGAACTCAAGAGCTCAGATTTCTACCATCTGCAAATGAATCAAACTGGGAAAATGGGTCTAATATTTGTAAAAATTCCAAGTATTTAAGATGAAATTATATAAATCATTGATGATTCTATATCTCCCTCTCCCTGTCTGAAATCAATAAAAGTATTTTAAATACATAAATAAAAGTTTTTAAAAGTAAAAATGTATAATGGGGCACACCCCTGCTCTGCTACAGCCCTCCAGGGCCCCAGAAGTTTCATCTCAGAGGGAACTACTTTAGAAGCCCAGGGCCTCCTGCATCCATAGGCCCTGCATGACCTGCCCACTCTGTTACCTCCCTGACCTCACCTCCCTCCCTCCTGCTCCTTCTTTCTCCTCCTGGATGTTCCTCCAACACCCCAGCAATACCAGGCAAGGTCCTGCCACAGGGCCTTTGCATGGGGGCTGTGCCCTCTCCTCTCTCATGTCTATATAAAAGTCCCTCATGTCACCCCCTCCCAGAGGAATTTCTGACCTCCATTTAAGAAAATGTCCTGTGTCCCTCCTCTGCCTTATTTTTGTCCCTGGCACTCACACACCATCTGTTTTGCTTATCTCTCTAGCTTGATTCTTGCCATTTCTCCACCAGGGAGGGGGACTGTCACCTATTTTGTCCCAGCTGTGTCCCCAGTGCCCGCACACCACAGCTGCTCAATAAATGTTTGCATGAGTAAATGGCCACACGTGGTTGGGTCTCGGGATGGGTAGCGTGTGAGTGGGAACCCCCCAGCCCTGGCCACAGCCTCCACAGCCAGCCACCTTGGGGTCGTGAATCCCGGAGAGCTCCTCGAAAGTCTTGTCCCCGACCATGACGGCAGCCAGGTTGGCCGTGTAGCTGGACAGCACGAGCAGGCAGAAGATGGCCCACAGGTTCATGAGCAGACGCCCGGTGGGGCACTTGGGTGTCTTGCTGGACACCGTGCGTCCAAACAGAATGGCGTAGCAGAGGTTGAGGGCCGAGGAGTAGGAGAAGACGGTGCCGCGGTTCCGGCCGCGGGGTGTGAGGCCATAGGGGCTGCACCACTCATACAGCGTGAGGAAGAGCGCGGTGAGGTGCAGGGCGGCAAAGACGCCCAGCCACATGGACCAGTGCAGCGGCCACATAAAGGCCCCGAGGGGCGAGGCCGTGTCTCTCGCCCGCACCATGATGCCCAGGCTGGTGGAGAAGAAGGGGCTGCTGAAGTCCACCACCTTCAGGCGGGCCGAGTTGATGCTAAAGCTGGTGACTGCCATGTGGGCCCTGCCAGCTAGCAGGTCACCCACCAGGCCCGTCCAGCGGCCATCCCGCAGGGCGCCGTACTTGCCATCGCCCACAATGTACAGCTCAAAGTCAAAGGGCGTGTCTTCTGCCAGGCGCTCCAGCAGGTCAATGCAGTAGCCATAGCAACACTTGCGCAGAGCACGGGACACCGAGCCGTTGGCCAGGGCAGCAAACAGTGCGTCCAGGGTGGCGGAGTCGTTGGTGCCAGGGGCCAGGCACAACTGTCCTGCTGGGCACTGCCCATCCTCGTCCGGTTCTCGGGCAAACACAAACGGATGCTCCACCAGGGTCACCACACGCAGCTTAGGCCGGACCCGGGCCCCCAGCGGGGATGGGGGCCGCACGGCAGCACCCCCTGGCTCCAACTCCAGCCTCCCCTCCCGCCAGCTGCCCAGTGTGGCCCAGGCTGGGGTGCCCCGCGGGTCCTGGCGCAGGCTCCACACCTGGAAGTGCCGGGACACGTGCACCTGGGAGGAGCGCGTCACCCACACTGGCCCTGTGTGGCCCTGGAAGGACGTGTTGCTCAGGAACCTGGCAGAAGGTGGGGGGCAAACAGGCATCAAGTAGTGGTAGTCCCCCCAGCAAAGCTCAGACCCTGCTCCCCACCTCTCAGCATGTACCAGGGACCACTGTGAATGCACACACCAGATCTCTACCAGCAGGGACATGAAGTCAATGCTGAACGCCCAGGCATCGCCCCCTGGCTCTGAGGTGCTGTCCACCCTCTAGCCCTCCCCTGGCATCAGGCAGAGACACATGCCCGCTGACCTCTCCCGCTTCTCCCAAAGAGCCAACCAAGCACGCCCTCCACCAGAATTCCTTTCTCAGGCCTGTTTCCACCAAGACGGGGACAAAGCCACCCTGTCGTGAGGCCACAGTACCTGGCATAGCAAGTGCCCAGTAATGTCGCCCCAGACAGAGGCAGCTCCACGCGGAAGCTGCACCCCCTTCCCACAGCAGGGTCCCCACTCACTGTGCCAGGAAGTGGCCGGAGGACCGCAGTGTGGCTGGCTTCGGGTCGTCGCAGTTGGTGGTGGCGGGGAGAAGGATGTGCTCCGGCTGCACGCGGGCCGCGCTGCCCAGCGCCCGCGCCATCAGCTCCACCGCGTCGTGGATGGTGGCCTCCAGGGAGGGTCGAGCCACCTCGCCCAGTGCCAGCAGCCCAGGCGGCAGGCCCTCCGTGGGCAGGGCCTCCGCAGGCAGCGGCGTACCCAGCAACCAGCGGGGCCCGGGAGGGACGGCCTCCAGCACCCGACGGGCACGGGCCACGTCACAGCCGAGGAGCACAGCCGCGGGTACCGGGGCTGAGCCTCCCTCTGGCGCCCCCAGGAGGGAAAGGCCGGCCTGCAACCCCGCATCGCCGGCGTCCGCTCGGCTCACGTCCAGCACAAGCTTCGGGGCCCTGCCAGCCCGGCTTGTCCAGAGCGCCACCAGGCCCCCCGGGTCCCGCATGCGGCAGAGCACCAGGCCGACGTCCTCCCAGGCATGGGCCCGCAGCACCGACACCAGCACCTCCAGCAGCGTCTCCAGGGGGCTGGCCCAGTGCAGCTGGAGATGAAAGGGGTTCTGGGGAGGGGGTGGTCACAGTTAGGGCTGGTGACCACCATGTCCTTTCCACTCCCACCACTAGGTGTTCGATAAACTGAGGCCACCCTCACAACTCAGGCAAACACAAATCCCTCATTCACCACAGTCCTGACCTCACCCACCCCTCCTGTCTGGGAACCCCTCAAGAGTCAGGACTAAGGCTCCATGATCATACTCTGGCTGATGACTTCATGCTGGGAGCCAGGCTAGAGTGCTTCCTCTTAAGACTCCTACACATCACCGCCCCTGAGCTAGGCAAACCAGGGGCTAAAGCGTTCCTTGTGCTCCATGGCACCCAGAAAGTTCTAGATTTGATCAGCCTGTGAAAGAGGGGAGAGCTTTAAAAAAAAGAAAAGAAAAGAAAAGAAAAGAAAGAAAGAAAGGAAGAAAGAGGGGAGAGCTTTGACAGACACCTAAGGTGGGTGGGATGTTGCCTGCCTGAGGACAGGGCACCCAGTGCTGGGGGACAGGCTGGGCACAGCTGCTCAGTTCGTCCCCACAAAAACCCCGACAGTTCCTACTGTAGGAGCGCAGTTCTTAGAGACGGCAGCAGAGGGCGCCACAGGCCTAAATTTGGGTCCTGCATCTTCCATGGGGAGGAGGCAGGGGTAGGAAAATGAGCCCCCAGCAGTGACAGCAGGGTTGGTGGCCTCTTCCAGGGTCGGCGTCTCCCCTCCCAGGGGAGAAAGAAGTCCTGGAGCAGCTTTAATGTGGTTTGGGAGGGAGGGCGGCTCCCACCAGATCCATGTTCCTCTCTGCTGGGCCTAGGAGGTGTGTGTGTGTGGGGGGGTCTTTTCCTGGGGCACAACATGGTCCCCTGAGCCCTGCCTTCACCCTTCTCGCCTCATCTCACTTTTTAAAATCTTCATCCCAGTCTACGGCCATACCACCCTGAACGCGCCCGATCTCATCATAAAATCTTCATCCCAGATCTGGGCCTGTGGTGGGGATGCGGGTGTATCTAGAAAATAAACTCCAAAAAAGGTGGAGAGTGTGCAGAGGATGGGGGAGGGGGGCTTTGGAGTCACAGTGGCCTGAGGTCCCAAGAAGGGCGACCCACCCCCAGAGAGCAAAGCGGGAGACCCGTCTCAGAGCCATGGTCCCGCCTGGTGGAAACCGAGAGCTGCCCTTGGCCCTGGAAGGGGCCACTCTCAAGGAGTGGGCTGGGGCCTGGGCCAAAGGGTGGCTGCAGTGGCGGGAGCCCACCACCACGGCTCAGGGAAAGGGTCTGCCCCAAAGGGGGCGTCCTCAGGGTTCTGTATTCCCGGGTCCAGAAAAGTCCCCAAGGGTCCCGGAACCGAGGGACCAGGGCTCTAGGCTTCTGAGCCCCCGGACTCCTGCCTCTGGTTCCCATGTTCTGGGATCCGCTGGGATCCAGGGTCCCGGGGCCCGCGAACCCAGCGGCGCCGTCATCGGACTCCTAAGCATCCCCGGGACGCCTGCATTTGCGGTCCAGAAGTCCATCCGTTCCGCGGGTCCCAGGGACCCGGGTCCCCGCATCTCAGGATCTCCCGCCCCGGAGCCTCCCAGGTTCACCTGCCGGCGCCGTGCGTACCGGGGCGCCGAGGGGCGCGCGCGCCTCCCGCCGCAGCAGGCTGAGCACGGGGGTCTCGGTGGCGGCCGCCAGGAAGTGCAGCTGCAGCAGCTCCGGCCGCGCCTCGGGGAAGGCGAGCACGGCCACCACGCCCGGCGCCGCCAGCGTCTTGCACAAGCCCAGGGCCAGCGAGGCGGGGTTGCGGGCGGGGGTCTCGGCGGCCACCAGGTCCAAGCTCAGGTTGTGCGGTAGCCGGTGCTCCAGGACGGCGCGGGCCAGGGCGGTGCGGGCGCGGGCTCGGGCGGCGGGTGCGCGGGGCAGGAGGGCGCCCAGGCGCACGGAGCCCCCCAGGCGCGCCAGGGCGCCGCACGGCTGCGGGTGGCCCCCGGCGGGCACGGGTCCCAGCGCCAACGCCAGGCCCAGCCACAGGGCCCGCACAAACCCCATCCCGAAGTTACCGGCTGGTGCTGTGGGGAACCGGTGCTGCGGGCACTGAACGGCTGGTGCCACGCGCAGGAGGCAGGATCCCAGCCGGCCCAGGCCACACCCATCCCGGCCCGGCTCCATCGTCCTGCCCCCGCCCTGGCCGCTCCCTGCTCCTGCAATGCCAGCGAACCACTAGGGAGGATTGGACCCACTTCCCAGGCTGGGACACAAAAGCTCAAATGGCCACAAGGCATGGGTGCTGGAAATAACCACTGTTCTTCCCCTTTCTGTGCCAGGGGAGGAGATGGAGGCTGGCACCAGGGAGAGATTTTGGTAAAAAATTATCCCCATACTTACCCCTGTTCCACTCCAAGATTCCCCTCCAACCCGGGAGAGTGGTGGCCCATTGTTCATTCAGGGAAACACAGCAGCACCTCCCGCCTCCAAAAAGTGGTGTCTGTCCATACCAGCCCCCCGGAGCGTGCTTTGCCGTGGTGTGCGCCCTGGGGAAGTCAGACAGGTGTGTCTGATGGGGATCTGGAAGACAGATCTCATGTTCCCTGGCTGTGGGCAGGCAACCGAAACCAGAGAACTCCTCACTCTCCAAGACCCAGTGCCAGATGCCACGGCTCTGAAAGAGGTTCCCTCTGGTCACCCAGAAAGATGCAGAGCCGTCCCCACCCCATTCAAGTTCACTCTGCCCACCTTGACTCCATCACAACTGCCAACACGGTGCTTGACTAACTGTTCAGAGAGACACTGGGTTATATCACTGTCCACTGCTCCAGAACTTTCTATAACTCCCTGCCACCTACCAATCCCCAAGCTTGGGTTCTCTGGGCCTCCCCACCTCAAATGACCCAGGGTCCTTGTGCTCCTGGCACACAGCAGGTGTTCAGAAAATGCTGGATGAATCAGGGCCAGCAGCACTGCGTGTGGCTCTCATCCAGGATAGGTGTGGGTGGAGGACTGAGAAAATGGGGGTGTCTCCCAGACCCTCCTGGATGCAGAACAGCCTCCCAGCACAGAACATTCCAGCTCTCGTGGCTGATCGTCTCACACACTAACACACTTTCTTGGGGAGCCAGTGTTAGAAGGGCAAGGAAGAAGATTCCCTTAGATAAGCAAACATGCAAGTGCCCGCCAGCAATAAGGACTGAAATTTGAGATGACTGTAATGAAAACTGAATTCCAGGTGACAAGGTATCTCATCCCGTCACCTGGCCAGGCACCCCAGGATAGGGAGCACCCCCAAGGGCCCTGGATTCTGGTTCCCTCCCTGCCTGAGGCCACTGTCATGCCAGGGAACACTCCACCTGCCATGGTCCTTGGTCCCACTGGGCCTTCGGTCCCACTGGGCCTCATCCCACCCTGGGTAACGGTCCCTCTGACTGCATGAGCCCCAGAAATAAGGGCCCATCCTGGGTAGGGCACACTTTCCTACCTTCATCCGAGATTCAGGCAGCCAACAGCCTTTTGTGACTTGTCACTGAGCATGTCCTCAAGGTTCATCCATGTAGTAGCAGGTGTCAGAATGTCCTTCCTTTTTAAGCCTGAATAATAAGTAGTCCACCTTCTGGACGGACCTCATGGTGTTTACCCGCTGAGACAGGCTGCTCCGCTGGGCCGTTGTGAACATGCTGCGGTGGCCGTGCTGTGCGGGAGCTGAGTCCGTCCTCAGTTCACTCGGGTGTCCATCCACCTGGAAGCAGGAGTGCAGGGTCCTGTGGGGATTGTGTCATTTCTTGAGGAACCACCAGACTGTTTGCCACAGGGACTGCCCCACTGTCTGTGCACAAGGGTGACTTCTCCACCTACTTGTGAACACTTTTTCTTAAAAACAAGTGGTTCTGGAAGGTGTTAGGTGGCATCTCACTGTGTTTTACAAAAATTCTGCCAGCACAGAGTAGTCACCAGTGAGTTCTGATGATGTCCACATGTCCCCTCTGACGATGGTCTAGAATTTTGGGTCAGATTGTGCTAAGAAATGTGTGCCATTCAGACCTTACCGGTTTGGCTCAGTGGATAGAGCACTGGCCTGCAGATAGAGGGGTCTCAGATTCAATTCCAGTCAAGGGCATGGACCTTGGTTGTGGGCATATCCCCAGTAGAGGATGTGCAGGAGGCAGCTAATTGATATTTCTCTCTCATAGATGTTTTTAACTCTATCCCTCTCCCTTCCTTTCTGTAAAAAACAAACAATAAAATATATATAAGCTGGATGGGGAAGAGGTCAGCTTTGTGCCACCACCCATGTATGTTATTTGCAAGGTGCATGGTGGGCTGGCCAACCCGCTCTAAGCCCTTTTATGGTGGCCTGCTGAGGATGGGTGACCTTCCAGGACTATGCTGGACAGAGTTGTGGAGGCTGTTTGCATGTTGTTCCCCCACCCAGGGTGTCAGAAGCTGAAGGGTGGGCAGGTACCACAGCCCCAGGGCACCGGGACCCGACACCTTACCCGCCAAGGGCACCCCAGCAGTTGAAGGTTCAGGGTGGTTTGGGGATGCTCTGGCCCTGGAAATACCTGCAGGGTGAGGGACAGTGGAAACAGTGCTCCCTCCCCCATTCCCCCACCCCCTTCTCCAGGGAAAAACCCAGATCCAGGGGAGACTGTCGGCCATCTCACAGCAACCTGCCAACTCTGACGCAGACTTGGGCAACAGTACCAGGCTCAGACCTAGCCCCAAGTCACCTACCAAGCCAACAACACAGTGGAGGGTTGGGGTTCCATGTGGCCAGGCAGAGGGGCCCACACCAGGATCAGGGCCCAGAGGGTGTTGGGCTCTGGCAGATGAGATACCCTAGGGGAGCCTGAACCCATCTTGAAATTCCCCCTCCACCTCCTAAGACCAAGTTCCATGCCCCCAGCTTTGCTGACAAGCTGCTACAGACTCCATGTGTGTGGAGGACCATGATGTAGGCCTTATCAAGCAGTTGGACCCCTTGCCTGAGATGAAAAGACAGCTCTAGGTATCCTGTCCCGGATAGGGGAGGGGTAAGGTAGAGTGGCTCCCGCTTCAGTGTACGGCTGAGCCACCACTGATGAGGACACAGAGCCCCGGGGACAGGGAACTCCAATTAGCCTAAAAGCTTGAGTTCAGTGCTGGCTCCTGGCTTGCAGTTGCAGTTATGATGGCACCTGATCAATTACGTGAGTTTTCTGGATCATTAAGCAGTACTGTCACTGAGGGGCAGCTTTCTGGAAGGTTCTAAGGGCAGCCTCGGGGCTCACACTTCTGGGCTGGCCTCCAGGTGCTGACTGGACTGGTGGTGTCCCCAGGGCAGTGGAGGCCCCTGGCCTCCCTCAGGCCCTTGACAAGAATGTTCTGGTCAAGTGGCCCAGAACTGGCTGCTACCCCAGAGTCCTTGCCTTGACCAAGGTTGAGGAGACTTGGTGGCCATCAGGATGTGACCAGTGTGAACCCACAGTGCTTTCCCTGCATCATCGCCACCTTGGTGACCTCGGCCTGTGGCCTCCCCCATCCCCTCCATCCCCTCCATAGAAGGTGGCAGCAGGCTGAAGTCTGAGAACCACAGCCTCCCAACGATTTTTTAGTCAGGCCTGACAGCCTGCCTCGAGGGTCCTGGAGCCCAGCCTGGGACTTGGGTCAACCCTCAGCACACACAGAGGACTCAAGAGGGCAGACTTTTAGATCTTTTGTTAAAAACAAAATAGCACCAACTGAACACAACAGACATGAGTGGATCAACACAGACAAACGACCCCTCATGCAAACAACAATCGGAACACGGAACCGGGAGGGGAGAGCTTGTAACAGTGCTGTTGGTCGGGGGCTTGGCCCGGTGGCCGTTGGCCTGCCCATGGGAAGGAGTCGGGTCCTGGCGCTCATTTCGTGGGCCGGGTGATGATGCGGGTGGAGAAGTCAAACAGGTCTCGGTTGATCTTGCGCAGGTTCTGCACCTCGTCTTCCAACTCCGTGATCCGGATCCGCAGCTGGTCCTGCCCGCCCAGCACGTTCTGGGGAGGAGCAGCGTTGAGGGGTGGGGTGCTCAGGGCGGAGGGCCCTCTGCCGTTTTGGGGTGGGGTAGGGGAGAATCCCCTCCACAATGAACAGTCCCGCTCCACCACCCCCCGCTCCAGCCTCACCCTCCTCCCTGGCCCTACCCACCTTTTCCATCGTGCTGCACATTACCATGTGCAGCTGCTCTGCTCGCTCCAGGTAGCTGGGCTCCGATCCCTGCAAAAGAAGGGGCTGCCTGAGTGGCCTCCGGGCTCACCACCCTCACACCACCCAAAAGGTGAGGGAGGTGCCATCCTGATGCCTCTCACAGATGGACAGGTTCCAAGTGCTGCTCGCTGAGTGTGATGTCCCTGCGGGAGCTCCACCTCTAACCCACAGCCAGCAGGGAGCAACGTGATCAGCCTCCTTGGATCTGCTGCCTGTTGCAGGACTGTGCCCAGGGGTGTGGGATTAGGGCCAGGCTTTGGGGGATATGCAGAAACCAGGGCCAAGGCTCCAGAAAAGGGCCAGCTAGCAGGTGGGCAGAACCTGCCACCCACCGACACGCATGGACATTGCCGCAGCGGAGAGCCGTCCCCCTCCAGCTCCATGCCGTCTGGACATGCTGCCCCGGCTGGCAGACAGGCACTCGGTCCTGCCATCCATCACGTCCGAGCGAGGGGCCTGGACACCCCTGGGGCTCACGATGCCAGGGCACGGGAGCAGCGGACAGAGGTGGACTGAGCACAGCCAGAGTGGCAGTGACAGGCCCCGCCGAGGACAGGCCAGGGTGACCTCTGGCGGGAGTTCCTGGTGGCACCGGGGGAGTGAGCGTGCCTCCGGTCCTGCTGGAGAAGGCACTGGATACAGCGTCTTTGGTCAGGCTTGTTTGCTTATTCGGGAATGTGCCCTGGTATGCGGTCTGCTTGTTGTGTGGAAGGTGCTTTCTGGGGGCAGATGCTGGCCACCAGCCTAGGCTCAGCGATGCATTCAGAGGGGTCTCCCAGAGGGCATATGTGGGGGGCCCTCACAGGGGTCCCGGCCAGGAAACCCTACCGCAGGGAGCACAGAGCCATGCTGCAGGGGCCGAGCCAGGGCAGGGGCCTGCTGCAGAGAGGACAGTACCTGCTGGTGGAGGCCCAGGCGCAGAGTCAGGCCCCCACGGCGCTGCTCATCCCCATGCTCGGCGCCCAGCAGGTGCCTGTTGAAGTGTGGCAGGGGCAGGCGGGGCCTGAAGTCGGAGCTCAGCATGCTGACCGGCGCCAGCATGACGAAGGCGTTGGTCACGGGGCCTGTGGGAGGGCAGGTGGCCTGTCAGGAGCTACCTCGGCCAGGCCTGGGCCATGGCTCCACACCCTCCACTCCTCAAACCCGCCCACCTGACAAACGGGCAAAGCCACACAACGTGCAGCCTGCTGTCTTCTGCCCCAGCCCCACCTTTGAGGGTCACTGTCCGGATGCACTGCTTGCTCTGGATGTCCCAGACACGCACGGTCTCGTCATGGGAGCCGGAGAGCAGCACGCTGCCATCAGTGGACACTGACAGGCAGGTCACCTGGTTCCTAGGGACACAGGTCTGAGGAAGGGTGGCCCAAAAGACTCCCAACCCCAGGAGCAAGAGAACAGGGCCCCTCCCCAGCTATCAGTCTGGTCCCCACACCTGTGGCCTTTGAACACCTTCCCGCTGTCCTGCTCTGACTGGAAGCTCTTCTCTCTCTGTCCAGGCTGTGGAGGCCGAGAGGCCAGTGAGCAGAGGGCAGAGCTGTACCTCAGCCCTGGGGGCCCCGGGCACTGGGGTGTTGGGCAGGGGAAGAGCCCAGTTGGCTCAAAGACCTAGATGCAGGGGAGGATGGACCCCGGGTGTCCCTCTGTCCCACAAGCCTCCACCCACGGCCCGGGCGCCCACCACTCACCCAGGCACAGAGGTCGACCTGGAAGATGGAGCCCTCACTGCCGCCGCAGAACATGTGATGCTCGGCGAGGTCCATGGTCACAGCCATAATGCCCACGTCAAAGAGCACAGAGAGCAGCAGCTCGCCTGAGGAGACCTCCCACAGCTGGGGCAGGCGGGATAGGGGATGGGGGCTCCACAGACACGGGGGTCCCAATGGCGCAGGGAGCTGAGCAGCCCTGCCTGGGAGACCCTGCCTGCCAAGAACCTCAGACGGGAGCGTCACTCGGGGATCTCAGCACTGGGGCACTTCCCAAGACACAGCTGAGTTCTCATGCCCAGGACCCCCCGTCACTCCATTTTAGCTGCTGTCAGGCCTGGATTCTGCCTTCCACAACCACCACCACCACCACCAAGGACAAAGACCTGAAGGTTGGACATTCTCAAATCCCCGAGTTCTCAGGGAGCCAGCAGGGGCAGGTGGCCAAACGAGAATTTCAGAACCAATACAGGCCTAGACTGCCGTCCCATGGATGTCCTTGAGGTGGGAAGCGCTGGGGGATTAACAGCTGAATCGAGCTACCAGCTTGGGGGGAGCAGGAGATTCACTGACTCACATCAGTCACCCCATCCCAGCTCACAGATCCACTGCAGGGGGCGTGGGGGGGCGATCCTACCTTCACCGTCTGGTCCAGCGAGGCTGTGGCCACCCGGGCCAAGGGCCCCCCAAAGCCACAGTGCATGTCCGTGATGGGGAGGGTGTGGCGGGACCAAACATGCCGGGGGGCTGGGGTCCGGGAGGAGTCCACCTGCAGCACGCTGCCGGAGAAGAGGATTCAGGGGGAGGGCTGCGCCCTGATGCCTCCACCCACCTCCACACGCCACTGAGCCCATCCCGCTGGCAGAAAATTCCCCGAACAGTCCCGGACAAACCAATCACACTGTCCTCACAACTGCAGGCCCAGACCCCATTCCTTCTTGCCCGGACAGTGGCGTGGCCTTCCGCAGGCAGGCTCCTGCCCTCTGGGACGGAAGCCATGGAGCAGGCGCGGGCCTAGTGGGTCAGGGCGCTACCTGCACAGGCTCCACACCAGCACCAGGCAGTCCTTGCCGCCCGAGAGGAAGTGGCTGCTGTCCCCTGTGAACCGCAGGCAGGAGATGTCCTGATAGTGGCGGCTCAGGATGACCAGGAGGTTCCCCGTGGAGACCTGGGGAAGGCAGGGCACAGGGTGAGTGCCTGGTCCCACAGCTGGCAGGTTCCTGAGGTGCACTGAAGGGCAAGTCTGCCCAGGGGCAGGAAGAAGGGAGGTGTGACTACAGCATCCAGAAAAGGAATGGGTGGGAGTGACCACGCTGGTGACCCAGGACCACGTGGGCGGCTCCTCTCACGGTGACTGTCACAGCAGACGTCACAGCCTTCCAGGCCAGCCGTGAGGGGCTTCAGGAGGGGTGGGGGAGCACCTCCTGCTCTGAAACCTGGGGGAGGGGAAACCCAAACCAGCAATAAGCTGAGCAGATCAGCCTACTGGAGAGGGAGGCACCTGGCAGCAGGGACAGGTGAGCCCATCACACACCTGTGAAGGGCTACGGCGTGGGGGGAGGGAACACAGCTGATGTCATGGGTTAAACTGTGTCCCCCAAATAAATATGTTCATGTCCTAACCCTGGAATCTGTGTCCTTACTTAAGCATAGGGGTTTTGCAGGCGTAATCAGTTCAGGTGAGATCACATCAGAGTAGGATGGCCCCAAATCTAAAACAGGTCTCCTTACAAGAAGGAAACTTTGTCAGACACACACTTGTTCACCCTGCCCCCCTCCAGCCCTAACACACACACTCAAAGAGCAAGAGGGAGAGGTCAACAGTGGCAGCTGTGGGAGCAGCTGTGAAAGCCCTCAGCCTGGGCTCCTGCCTGTTGGCCATGTAGGGCGCCCCCACGTGGTCGTAGCTCACACTGGTTAGGAAATCGGAGTTAGGGCCAGACAGCAACCCAGTGGCCTGGAGTACTGTGACGGTGCCCCATCAAGGAGGGGCGACCTCCTAAGATGTCCCCATCAGGCCACAAGCCACTGGTTTCTATCATGTCCCCGGCACCAGGCAAAGATTTCTACCATGATGGACAGGCAATCTGTGAGGAGCCTCTCCCTGCCTCCGGTCCTCTCCCTGTGCATGAGTAACTGCTTCCTGTTTCAGAGCCAGGACTAAGGTTTAAAAGTCCCAGGATGAGATAACGAAGCTTCTCCCATCTGGCAGTGAACTCAGATGTCTCCAAACGGCCCCTGGACGAATCAATCACACTGTCCTCACAACAGCCCACCTGACCTGCAGGCCCCAGACCCAGTTCCTTCCTGCCCCGGGACTGTGGCGTGGCATGGCCTTCTGCAGGGCAGGCTCTATTTTGCAGGTCAAGGTCAAGGTCAGGCAAGTCAGAGGTGGTTATACCCACCTTCTGACTGCAAATCCTACACTGTCTGCACAGGAGGTGAGGCAGATCTCCTATCTCAAACAACCAAGTGTTGGTGACAATGCTGGTGGTGGTCTAACACCACAGTCCATAGGTTAAGCCCCGTGACCCTGGCTCTGACACTCACCTCCCATAGGTATATGCTTTCTGCAATCCCTGCCAACATGTAGAGACCGTTGGGCGATGTGGTCAGACAGGTAACAGGCCCGGGGCACATGATCTTCTGCTGGAGCTGGTCCTAGAGGAACAGAAGCAGCCTGTGAGCTTCATGGAGAACTTGGCAGCCATGGGGCAGTGAGGAGAGTGAGCGGGAGGTGCCCAGGCGGCTGGTAAATCCAAGAAAACCGGAAAGAATGGGGATAGAGATGGTTTGAGCAAGTTCAGTAACGAAGCGTCCACTCCAGCCCAGGCTTTGCATGCTGGAGGTGGAGAATGTCAAATCCTTGGATAAGAGCAAGGTGATGCTCATGTCCGTCCGGCCAGCGTAGCTCTGTGGATGAGCGTAGACCTATGGACCAGGAGGTCACGGTTCGATTCCCCGTCACGGCACATGCCTGGGTTGTGGTCTCAATCCCTAGTGTGGGGCCTAAAGGAGGCAGCCAATCAATGATTCTTTCTCATCATTGAAGTTTCTCTTTCTCTCTCCCTCTCCCTTCCAATTTAAAAGTATACACATATATTTTTAAAAAAGAGAAAAGATGGTGCTCCTATGGGCATAGGAATGGGGGTGGGAGAGGCACAGTGAGTCCAGGAGCTGTGATGGAGCTGGAGAACCCAAAGGCCAGTCGTCTTATTCCCTGATCCTGCCTTCCTAAGGTCCCATCCGTGACCTTGAGCCTCAGTTTCCAAATCTCTAAAATGGGAAAACAAAGTTCTGAGTGGCCCACACCAGGCAAAGCCAGAGCACAATGCTTGTCCCAAGAGATGCCAGTTGGCAGAAAAAGGCATGTAGCTGCAGGAGCAGAATTTTGGGGTTGCTTTAAGAGGAGACACCATGGGCTCCAAGGAGTAAGGATGGTGTCTTTTTTAAAGTCTCCCAGGCTACCTTTTCAGGGGGTTCACCAGGCCTCAGATCTTCACTCTCCATGAGACCCCAACTACAAACCCCCCCCCCCTAAATTTAGCACCCTTAGAAGTTTGCTGACCCATCCCTGAGTCCGATGCTAACAAACCAGCCTTAGAATGTAGCTTGACCCCTCCCACACGAAGCCAAGAAAAAAATGGATGGAGCCCTAACCGGTTTTGCTCAGTGGATAGAGTGTAGGCCTGCGGACCAAAGGGTCCCATGTTCTATTCAGGTCAAGGGCACCTGCCTAGGTTTAAGGCTTGATCCCCAGTAGGGTGCGTGCAGGAGGCAGCCAATCAATGATTCTCTCTCATTACTTATACAATATTTCTCCTCTCCCTTCCTCTCTAATATAAAAAATAAATATATGTATATATATTAAAAATGGGTGGCCCTAGCCGGTTTGGCTCAGTGGATAGAGTATCAGCCTGCAAATCAAAGGTCCTGGGTTACATTCTGGTTGCAGGCTCCTCCCAGGCCCAGGCCTTGGTCGAGCTAATGCAGGAGGCAACCAATCGACGTTTCTCGCACATTGATGTTTCTCTTTCTCTCCCTAAGAGTCAATGAAAAAAATATCCTCCGGTGAGGATTAACAACAAAATTGCGTGGAGCAAACCTATGTTTCTCTCTCTCTTTAATCAACTTTTAAAAATACTGCAGAGTCAGTAGATAGATCCTAGCTTAAAAACCAACCACAAAATTTCCCTCCCCTTTCCGCACAGCTCTCTTTAGGGGCCCACGACCTCCCCATCCCTTCATGCCCGCAGGTGCCAGGCCAGCAGCCTCAGGCCCGCCCGGGGCACGCCACCTCCTCCGACCAGAAGCCCCCAGGCCCGCGCACGCGCAGAGCGCCCTGACCGAGCCTTCCTCCCGGCGCGGGGCGTGGGCAGCCCCGTGGACCCCGGGCTGAGGCGTCCCGCGCGCCGCCAGCGGAGCCCGAGCCCTGGCGCGCGCGGCGCACCTTCCGTTGCACCTCCCAGGCGCTGATGTAGTTCTTGCCCAGCTGCGCCGCCAGCAGGTACTCGCCATTGAGCAGCGTCAGACCCCGGGGCCCCGCCTGGCCGCCGCGGTACGTGAGCAGGTTAGCGCCCGAGTGGAGCTCCCACACGACGCAGCTCCACAGCTGGGCGGACGAGTCTGTACACACGGCTACCTCAATGGGCGCCGCCATCTTTCCCTCCCTCCGCCCCGGAAGTGCGTCACACCAGCAAGGAGTGGGCGACTTCGCCGCGAGGGCTAGAGCGGCGCCGGCGTGGCCACGCCTCCAGCGGCTGGAGGGCGGGCTCCCCTGGGAACCGGCCCACCCCCTCCCCCCGCACCCCCTCCCCCCGCACCCCCTCCTCCCGCACCCCCTCCTCCCCCATCCCCTCCACCGTCACACCGTCACACCGGATCCGCTGAGAATCGAGAGCGCAGCATCTGATGGAAGATCTTGGTAGGAGACCTCTTGTGAAACTAGATGGAAGAGAAATCAAGGCCCAGGGTCTTCTGCGAGAAGTTAGTAGGTTCCGAGCTTGGAAGTCTGGCTTGTCTTCCACGCTTGGCGCTCTCGAATTCTCTTTATTTTTATTTTTAATAACCAAATAATAAAGTACCGACCTCACAGGCGTCAAGGGCAGACTCGGTCCCGACATAACATATTTGACGTCACTTAACACATTTTAATTGTGAACTCAGGTGTCCACCATCAGCCTACCCCCGGACCCTTCTTCTTGGGCGGAGGTCCACAATAGGCACATTTTTATTTATTTTATTTTATTTTATTTTTTTAAATATATTTTATTGATTTTGTACAGAGAGGAAGGGAGAGAGATAGAGAGTTAGAAACATCGATGAGAGAGTCATCAATCAGTTGCCTCTTGCACACCCCCTACTGGGGATATGCCCGCAACCAAGGAAGGTATTGATACATGCCCTTAACCGGAATCGAACCCGCGTCCCTTCAGTCCCCAAGCCGATGCTCTATCCATTGAGCTAAACCGGTCCCGGGAATAGGCACATTTTTAGTTCATGAACTAAACAAGCCGGGAGCACCTAACTTCAGGTCACAGATGCTGTCCCAGCCACGTCTAAAAAAATGACTTTAAAATGTGGAATTAGTTGCTAATCTTTGGAAAGGGAGAAATCACTTAAAAAATGGAAATCTCCAGCCTGGGGGACTTGGCTGTCTAAGGCAGTGTGTCCACAAGCAACACCCGGGGCGAGGCCCAATGCAGGGTGCCTACAACGATGCTGAGCTCGGCCCTCACGCCAATGGGAAGGGCGCCCAGGCTCTGCAGGCCCAGTTCCGGCCACCAGGGGGCAGGCGGGGACCGTGGGCCGGGAGGCGGAGTGCAGGCCGCTCCCAGTCCTGGGGCCACAGTGCGGAGCAGTTACTGGGCCAGGAGGACTTCCCAGAGGTGTCGTCCTTTAAGCGGGGAATAACAACAAAGAGAAAGGTGGGCAGAGACAGTGTCAAGGCCCGAGGGCCAAACCCTAGAGGGGGGTGACCCTAGGTTTCACAAATGTTTTTAAAGTGTGACTAAGAGCTGAAACCAGTTTGGCTCAATGGATAGAGCGTCGGCCTGTGGACTGAAAGGTCCCGGGTTCAATTCCACTCAAGGGCATGTACCTTGGTTGTGGGCACATCCCCAGTAGGGGGTGTCCAAGAGGCAGCTGGCCGATGATTCTCTCTCATCGATGTTTCTAACTCTCTTCCTCTCTGTAAAAAAAATCAATAAAATATATTTTTTTAAAAGTTTTGTGTTTTTTAGAAGATACCCCTAAAGATAAATTACCCTTCTCAAACACCAAAATAAATACCTTTTCGTTCTCCCCCCAAACCAAATCTTAGAATGCTGAAATCCAGCACTCTGCAGAACCAGGAGGTGGGCCAAGGTGGCCCTTCTGAACAGCAGCTCAGGGCTTGAAATGGGCACTTCTGAGCCCTGGGGCAGTCACTGCACACCCCGGGGCCTATTCCCCACAGGCAAAGTGGGGGCTCCTCGGAGCTAAAGGGTCTGTGTCCTCATCCAGGGAAGGCTGGCCTGGAAATTTCCAGATTCCTGGACATGGGTGGGCCCAGCTGGTATGGTTTGCAGAGGACCAACTGTGCCAATAGGGATAAGGGGCTGAGGGTAGATGCTCAGGCTGGAACACGTCCAGGCGCTGCCCCAGGGCAGGACTGCTGGATTGCAGTCCGGCCCCCTCACAGGCCTCTCCCTCCTCCCTTCCTCCCCTCCTCCCTTCCCTGGGGACCCAGTAGGCCAGGCTGCTGTCAGGTCAGAGGTCACCCCACCCCCAGCCCCGTTCCTGGAATGAGGACAGACCAGTTGTGTCAGAGCAGCAAGACAAAAGCCACACTTTGGGGGCCTGCAGACCACCCAGTCTCTAGACCTCCTTGGTGCCAGCCAGGCGCCACCTCCCAAATCCAAGCTGAGAGGCCCTCGGTGGTAGTTGGGCGGCGGCAGCAGCAAGTAGGCTTGGGGAAACTGAGGCACAAAAACTGCACAATCCCTCTGGCTCTAAGCCCCTGTTTGCAGCCACTGGCACACACTGCTGAACCGAACCAGACCCTGCCTTTCCTGGGCTCAGCCGCCTCTCACCCTGCCCACCCAGGGCGTGGGGGCCTTGAGCACCGTGGCAGCTCCCGTGATGTGCACTAATGGTGTAAGGAATCGTGGATGAGTCCAGTAGCAATCATCCTTTCCACCGCCGTCCCCCACCCCCTCCACCCAGGTCTGCCTCTCCCTCCCGCTAATCAGGCCTCGTTTAGAGTTTCATCTCCTGGGAGCCTCTCTGCCTAACAAGCAGAGCAGGAGGCAGGAGGCAGGAGGCAGGAGGCGCCTCGGCCCGGGAGGTGGGGAGAGGTGGTGGAGTCTGACCCCTCCCTCGGTGCCGCAGGAGCTGTGTGACCTCAGGGCCCCAGTCCCTCTCTAGGCCTCTTCAGCCGAGGAAGAAAGATGCTAGACTAGCCCATCCAGTTTGTGGAAAGGGCTTTAAAGAAAACAAACACAACACGAGAAAGACACTTTTCCTTTATGTCCCTGGGGAGTGGGGCTCCGAGGGGCGGGAGGGTTAACCTGTCTTCTCCAGGCTCCCAGGCCCGCGGAGACAGATGCAGCCAGTCCATTTCTGGCATGGACGGGAACTGCTGGACCAAACGGGCCACAGGAGGCAACCGGCTGCCACAGGAGCGGTTGTTTCCCGACTCTTCACCAGGCGGGGGCGGGCCCAGGAGGAAGGGGTGGGCCCAGGCCAGCCACAGCCGAGAGCTAGTGGCGGGGGAGCCAGGGGCAGGGGGCCTGGCCCGTCCACGTCCCGACCACGCTGACCTTGAGCCCATCGTGTCGCGGGGTGTGGGTGACGTGAGGGGCAGCCACCTGCGTGCTGCTGTCGGGTTGGGTTTGGAGGCTGAGAACAAGGGCTGCCCTCCATCTGGGCTGAGCCCACCGTTTGCAGCTGCCCCTCAACAGCCCGATCGCCCCTTGGTCTGGCTTCTTTGGGGCCAGACTGTCCTGAGAGACAAACGCTAAAATGTGGGCCAAACCGCAGCGGGGCAGGCTGGGAAGAGGTAGGCCCAGGGTGGCTTCCTCGGAGAACCAAAATGAAGCCAGCGAGGAGGGGGCAGGGGACAGGCCACGTGCCCTAGGGGTTCGAGTCCGAGAAATCTGGAGTTAACACTGGGCATCAGAACCCAGCACAGCCGAAACCGGTTTGGCTGTGGATAGAGCGTCGGCCTGCAGACTGAAAGGTCCCAGGTTTGATTCTGGTCAAGGACATGTAGGTACCTTGGTTGCAGGCACATCCCCAGTAGGGGGTGTGCAAGAGGCAGCTGATTGATGATTCTCTCTCATCGATGTTTCTAACTCTCTCCCTCTCTCCCTCTCTATAAAAAATCAATTAAAAAAAAAAAAAAAAAAAAAGAACCCAGGATAGCAGGAGGCCTACGCTAGGAGGCTGGAGGGACCAGCAGGCTGACACAGGGGGAGGGAGCCACCCTCAGACCTGGCTCAGCTAGTGCCTCCGTCTCTGAACTGCTGGTACGGGAGCCTGGCCACTCTCCGATGGAGCTGTGCTGGGCTCTGGGGGAGGTGAGCAGCACCCCTGGCCCCACCCACCTGATGACAGGAGCACCCCCCATCGTGACAACCACAGACATCCCCAGACACGGCCCCGTGTTCCCTGGGGGCACAGTCCCCACTGGAGGACCCGCACCAGCCCCCGCGCCTTCTGCTAACTGGACCCAGACGGTGCAGTGACGCCCAGGAACCGACCACCGAGACGTTTTCTGTTAAAAGTCAGAAGTGTTTTGTCTTGTTTTAATATCTCATCAGCTTTACAGGGTTACAATTGTCTTAAATATTTCTGAAATTTAAATACAATCTGCATAATAGTTATAAAATGTAAACTTTCAGTGTTCTTTTAAATTTCAAAATCACACCTCCCCCCCTTTTTTTGGTCTTTTGCCCCCCTCCCCCTAATACCTGAATGTTCTGTAGAACTGAAATCCTTACCAGCTGCCCCACCAGCCAGGTGGCTGACAGGCGAGGCCCGGCCAGAGGTAGAGTAGTTTTTAACTTTAAAAAAGTTTTTTCCTTTAAACCTGAGTTCGGGCGTGGCCCCCACGCCATCGGACAACCCCCAGAGAAGCTGAAATTTCACATGTCAGGAATGAAAAGCTGAATTCATTCGTGTTTGCCAAGAAAAAAACGCACAAGCAAGCAAGAGAAAAACGATAGAAGTGGGCAAAAGTCATAAAAGCAAAAAAAGTGACTGTACAAATGCACAACTATTAAAAACTAACTCTGCTGCCCGACGCCTCTGCCTACCCCTTGCCCGACAGCTACAGTTTAGGGGTCACCAGGAAGGTTCTAGAAGCAGCCCGTAACGAACACCTCTAGAGCAGTTAAGTTAGCCCCGAGCCCTGAGTTTGGGACTCCCTACCTGCTCTGTGCAGCCAAGCCCCACCTGTTCCGGAATGAACAGTGCACAAGCCAGCTGCTGATAGAGATGGCTGTCCCGTCCACACCCAGTTTGCATAAAGAGGTGCTGAGCTGCACCCCAGAACCCTCACCAACAGGAGGTTGCCCTGAGCTGGGATTGGCAGAGGGGACTCAAGGCAGAGGCACAGCACTGCCCCAGCCTGGAGCTCCCCCTCATCTTTCCACCTCTCCCCCCGCTGCCCACGGCTCCCCCACAGCCCCCCCCACCCTGGCCCCCTACAATCACCATGAACAGTAGGCATGCCCTGAGTTAGATCTGGGGGCTGTATCACCCACAAGACACGACGCCCAACACACACAGACACACACACACAGACACACACACACACACACACTCATGTGACCAGAGACAGCACCCAGGCAGGCTCTCAGGTGGACACGCCCACTACGTAGGTGGTGGTGGGGGAACAGGTACTGATAAATGCTGAAACCCTGAGCCAGCCAAGGAGGGCAGGCCGAGAGGGGTTTTGGCATCAAGAGTCAGACCCGAGGTAGAAATAACCAGGCAGCAGACACCCCCATGTGGGCCCCACGTACTCCAGGGGGTCAGGTCAGGGGAAAGAGAGGAGGAGCATCCGGTATCACGGCTCTTGGACAAAAAGACCCTCCTCCCACAGTGATTGTACTGTTGCATAAGGAACGGGGAGGAGAACCATGCATAAGGAGAGAGGAAACCCCACTGCCTGGGAGGTGGAGGGTGTCCTCGACCCTGAGATATACCAGAGGAAGGGGCTCTCCCCAGACACCCCAGCATGACCCCCGAGCGCCCAGGCTGGGTGTGGGGAGCGGGACGCTCTCCCCTCCCTGGTCTCCAAGGCCACAGAGGGCCCTGGCCCGGGATCACCCGCTCGGGACCCGGGAGGCTGCCAGGTGGCATCGTTAGGCCGGGCCAGGCTCCCGGGGCCCAATTAGCGTTTCCAGGCAAACTCAGCGACAGGAGCGCGCAGGGGTGTGGCAGGCACCGTTTCGATCAGCACCACCTGGTCCCCAGGGACCTAGCCAGGCCGGGGAGTGGTGGTGGGGGAGCTGAGGGAGTCCCCGAACCCCGCCTGGCGTTTGGACAGAGGGTGCTACCTCATGGTGAAGACCGTTACCCCGCCCAGCCCCCCACGATGACCACCTTCTAACCTGGGTAGGTGGTCACGTTGGGGGTGGGTGCAGCCTCCCCATGGGCCTCTGGTTCCTTTAGCGATAGCAGATGTGGCCTTGCTAGGGGCCAAGAGAGAAGAAAGGGACAACGTGGAGGAGATGGGAAGGGGTGGGGTGTTCAGGATGACGGCCTCAAAAACCTCAATCCGAGCTAAGCCTGGCTCGCCCCAGTCCCCAGATATCCACGTGTCTCTGAAAGCAGCCCTTCCAAAGCGGTGGTGGCGCAGTGCTGAGCACAGGTGCCTTCCAAAGCGGCCCCTTCAGCCCCGCCCGCCCGCGTGGCTTAGTGGTTGAGCGTCGGCCCACGACCCAGGAGGTTGGATTCCCGGTCAGGGCACATGTCTGGCGGTGGGCTCAATCTCTAGCAGTGAGTGTGCAGGAGGCAGCCGACCGATGCTTCTCTCTCATGGATGTTTCTCTCTCCCCCGCTCTCCTTTCTCTGAAATCAATAGAAACATATTAAACAAATAGAAAAGCAGCCCTTCCAGGTAAGAGAGAGTCCCCAGGCCATATTCATCCCTGAGACAGGAGCCTGAGGGCTAGGACAGCACATCCCCGCCCAGGCCTAAGCCCTGGCCCTTCATCCTACACTTTCTCTCCAGTTAAGACTTCCAGATCCCCGACAGGCAGCAGGCACGGCACAGCGAGAAAAAGCATCGAGCGGCTTGGTCTGCCATTCAGCATTCACATCCCCAGTCCCCCCTCGGCTTGCCCCTGCATGGACCCCAGCCTGGCCCTCAGCACCTGAGTTCGTCACCGTTTCTGGCTCTAGCCCAGGGATACAGTGTCCTGGGCGTGCGAGCTGCCTGCCGCAGCACAGGGAATGCACACAGAACCCAGTTCAGTCACGGGGAAAATGGAAAGGGTATTACCTTTTTTGCTTTTTTTTTTTAAAGTCCCGTTTCCCTGAATGAACACAAATATATAGAGATATATATCCTTTTCCTAAGGTTTGATTCCTCCCCCAAGAATAAAATAGAACATTTACAGAACAAAAACCCCCCAAACCTCTTAAAACCCTATAGAGCTTGAATATCGCTATTTCTTTAAAAAATAATAATAATAATAATAAGTTCCCAAAAGCAACAAGAAAAAAAATTCAACTGATCTTGGCTCAGGGGTTTCATTCAAAACAAGGAGCCGGGTATGATGAGTGGATGAGTGTGTGATGAACAGGAACAAAAGTAAAAAAAAAAAAAAAAACAGACAAAAATGAACACACACAGTGCAGGGATGTATGAGGTAAACAGGATCTGGCCTTACATTGCAACTGGTCCAAACCAGACACCAGACACCAGTCCAAATCGGCCCGCCAGGCTGCAGGGAGCCCTGGGGAGTCTCTGCCGCTCTCTTTCCTGATCTCCTTAGCTGTTCTTGCAGTTTCTCTCTCTGAATGTCTGAAACCTGAGTAATTCAAGTGTTCCTTGGTTTTCCCCTGTTTTATTAAATTTTCTTTATATATATGTATATATTTTTTTCTTCTATTTTTGGTGTTAGCTGTGGCTCCTTTGTGGATTATTTCCCCTCCCCACCCGTATCTTCCACCACCCCGGCCCTGCGCGGCCCACCTTTCCCGCACCCTGCCCAGTCTGACCAGCTCCTGGGGTGGGGGGGCGGTGGGTGGGGGGTGGTGCAGTTAAGGCAATGAGTTATTTGAGGTAGAAGACGTCGGGGGTGCGGATAACCCCGCTGGCCCGGCCTGGCTGCCCACGCTGCTGCTGCTGGTCCCGCCGTTTCCTCCCCGGCTGCTGCCACCACCGCCTTTGCTGGGAGCGGAGGCCGGTGTGGGGGCTGGCGGCTGAGCAAACAGCACTCCTAATGCAAGGACAGGAGGAGAGACGTGTCATGGAGAGTTCACACATTAGGTGACCCCCAAGCAATGACCCCCTGCAAAGTCCACCCTTGGTCCCACTAGGACACCCGCCACCTCATCTTAGTCTCTGCTTCCGGTGGGGGTCTTTGCCCAGCAACCCAGCTGTTTTGTGCCCCTAGCACCACCTGGTGGCCTAAGGAGCAACTGGCCTGACTACATTTTTTTACAAGGAACTTGGGAACATCACTTGTACGGTTCACCCATGAACACAGGTGTTAGAGAGGCAGTAGTCCCCTGGCACAGTTTAAAATCCAAATACAACTTTTAACTCCCCAAAACTTAACCACTTATAGCCTATTGTTGACCAGAGCCTTACTAATAACATAAACAGTGATGAACACATATATATTGTTTTCTTTATAAATTGATTTTAGACAGGAAGGGAGAGGGAGATAGGAACTTCAATGATAAGAGAATCATAGATCATCTGACTCCTGCACGCCCCCTACAGGGGATCGAGCCTGCAACTGGAACATGTGCTCTTGACTGGAATCAAACCCGGGACCCGTCCGTCTGCAGGCCAATGTCTATCCACTGAGCCAAACCAGCTAGGGCTGAACACATATTTTGTATTATATGTCTTATATACTGAATTCTTATAATAAAGTAAGCTAGAGAAAAGAAAATGTTATTAAGAAAATCATCAGAGCCCTGGCCCATTTTGCTCAATGGATAGAGCATCAGCCTGTGGACTGAAGGGTCCCAGGTTCAATTCCAGTCAAGGACATATGCTCAGGTTGTGAGCTCAATCCTAGTAGGGGGCATGCAGGAGGCAGCAGATCAATGATTCTTTCTCAGCATTGATGTTTTGCTCTCTCTCTCCCCTCCTCTTTGAAATCAATTAAAAAATATATATATATATATGAAAATCATCAGGGCCTTGCCAGTGTACAAGGAACTTTGAAACATGTTGTGGTTTAGTGTTGACCCAGGAACCAACAGGCTGCTGGTTCGATTCCCTGTCAGGGCACATGCCTGGGGTTGCGGGCTTGATCCCCAGAAGGCACCCAATCGATGATCCTCTCTCATGGATGTTTCTATCTCTCTATCCCTCTCCCTTCCTCTCTCTCTAAAAATAAAAAAAATAAAACATTAAAAAGAAAATCATCAAGAAAATACATTTCCTAGCCCTAGCTGATTTGGCTCAGTAGATAGAGCATTGGACTACAGACTGGAAGGTCCCAGGTTCAGTTCTGATCAAGGGCACATGCACGGGTTGTGGGCTCAATCCCCAATAGGGGGCGTACAGGAGGCAGCCGATCAATGATACTCTCATCATTGATGTTTCTATCTCTCTCCCTCTCCCTTCCTCTCCGAACCCAAAATATATATTTTTAAAAAAGAAAGAAAATACATTTCCAGTATTTGTGGGGGGGGAAAGCATTTATAAGTGGACCCATGCAGCCCAAACCCTTGTTGTTCAAGGGTAACTGTATTTTTGAGCACTTATGTGCTAAGCCTCATGCTAAGTGCTTATTATGTGCTAAGAACTGTGCCAAGTGCTTACTATGTGCTGAGCACTGTGCTAAGTATACCACATTGATTATACACTCAAGCCTGCAAGGTAAGGAAGAGCTTTGCTCACTCTAATGGCTGGGCTCCTGCAGGCCAAACCCAGCGATTACCCAGGACGCCTACATTAACCTGGGGGATGAAGTTGTCAAGGTGTTACCTGTATACATAATTCCGTTAATCTCCACTGACATGCTAATACTATTGCTGCCATTGGTGCTGGTCAAGCTTGCAGCCGAGTCTGGGCGGCTCTCCGAGGCTGTGGGAAGAAGAAAAGCCACCGTTTGGAATCACAAACTCATCGGTGCAATGAGCCATTTCACAGCTATCATCCCCACCTGACTTTAAAATTCACAAAGTGGCGGACTGTGTCTGCCACCAGCACACACAGAACATGATAAATACGGAATAAGAATGTATGTATATGACATTTGCTCTTATCATGACTGTAATTCTTAAGCGATGTTGCACACCCAAACCATGTCATTCTTCTTAACAGCCACGAAGTCTTCCAGGTGTGACTCACTCATTCCTCACCGATGGACACACACATCGCTTCCAGGCCTCACTGTTACAACATCAGGTAAATGACTGCAGTGAACAAACCTGTCTTTACAGGTACCCCTTGCTTTTTGAAAATTCACCATTATACCGCTTGGAGAGGCTTCACAGGAATGCCCTGCTCTCAGACGGCGGAGACACCCACATTTCCTTGAGCACCTCACTGGCTCTGCTATAGATACTAAGCAGATCACTGATGTTTTCTGTTTTTAAGCGATTGCCAAACTGTCCCCTATTGGCACTCCCACCAGCAGGACACATTTCCTCACATCCTGAGCAACACTTGATATTATCAAACTCTGATGGGTGAAAAGTGGTGTCTCCTTGTTAACGTGCAGGTCCCTGTCTAGATGGAGCCGAAAGGCTTTTCTTCTCCATCCTTACAAGGGGAAATGTGTCTACTGATTTTAGAGAAAGCGAAGGAAGAGAGGGAGAGAGAAACATTGATGTGAGAGAGAAACATCGATCAATTGGACCAGAAATCGAACCTGTAACCTTCTGTTGCACAGGACGACATTCTAACCTACTGAGCTACACCAGCCAGGGCTGAACATCTTTTTCATAGGAATCTACTAGTCACAACTGCCCATTTTTTCTCTATTGATTTGTTTGCCTTTTTTCTTATTGATTTACAGGCACTTTTTACATAGGCTGGCTCCGAGACCCTTCTTTTGTTACTCATGCAGAGAGCACGTGGGTCTGGGGTGGGCTGGTACCTTGGCTGTTGATGCGAATGCTCATGGGCAGCTGGGCTGTCATGGCCAGGAAGTTCTGCTGGAGCGCTCGCTGCATGAGCCGCTGCTGCTCATCCGCCACCAGGGCCATCTTCTTCTCCGGAGGCTCCCCCGACTCCAGCTTCTCCCGGAGCTGCTCCAGGGCGGCCGCCTGCGCGGCCACAGCCGCCTGGGCTGCCGCTGCTTGCACTGCCACTGCCTGGGCTGCCACCACGGGGTGGCCTGCCAGGGAGACTGGCAGGCGGCCGGGGACGGTGATGGGGATGGCCGAGTCCTCCTCTAGACAGGAGAGAAGGGAAGTTGGTGGCCAAAGGGGAAGTGAGGTGCTTGGCCCAGCCTTTCCCCCACACCAGAATGAGCGTTCTCTTGAAGACCTCCACGGATAGGGCGCCCACTCCCTCTCCGAGGGAAGTATCGATAATTTTTAAAATTTATTTATTTAATCCTCACCCAAAGACATGCTTACAGAGAGAAAAGGAGAAACATCGATGTGAGGATAAACCGGCAACCCAGGTATGTACCCTGAATGGGATGGAACTGCCATCCTTTTTCCCCTCATTGATCCCTTTCACTCTGCCCCCACCCCTTCCAGGCCTTCACCACACTATTGTCTGTGTCCATGGGTCATGCATATATATGCATATAAATTATTTGGTTAATCCCTCCACCCCCCACCTTTCCACTTAATCCACCGCCATCTTGGAATCGAACTGCCACCTTTTGGCGTATAGGACCTTGCTCTAACCAACTGAGCCACCCGGTGGCCTGGGCAGTAACTAGGTTTCTGAACAGACACAAGTGGTATAAACCCTTTGTAAGGCAGGTGATCATACTGGTAATACTGGTGATAACACTACTAGTTAAGTACTAGTGTTATAATAGTATTTAGTATCAGTACTACATAGATTCTATAATAGCATATAACATCCCAATATATAAAAAGCCAGGGGCCATCACAACCAAAACAAACCAGATGGACGACCCAACACAGGCTGTATAGGGTGACCAGGCTGGCAGGGGAGGCATTTGGGGGCAACCAGGCCGGCAAAGGGGGAGCAGTTGGGGGTGACCAGGTTGGCAAAGGAGGGCAGTTAGGGGTGATCAGGCAGGCAGGCAGGTGAGCAGTTAGGAGCCAGCGTTCTGGGATTGTGAGAGTGATGTCCCACAAGGGGTTCCAGATTAAAGAGGGTGCAAACTGGGGTAAGGGTACCCCACACTGTGCACCAATTTTGTGCACTGGGCCTCTAGTATTATACAATAGTAGTCATAACAAAAAGGCTCAGAACATGTCTAAAGCACTTCCATCTCAAACAGGAACTAACTCAAAGGGCCATTTCTACAACTTCAAATCTACTCTTATCTCCAGATGAGAAAACTAAGGCTAAAGGTTCATAACTTTCCCAAGGCCACAGAGCTGGAAAAAGGCTGAGCTTAGATTCAAATTCAACTCCTACCCACTCTCCTCTTCTGTGGTTAAAACAAATGTTCCCGTCTTTCCCATCCACCAGGATCACTAGGACCTGCTGTCTCTTTTCCCCCAACTCACTCTGCTGCCTGTTGTTTACAGGTTCTCTCATGACCCCCCTTTTACTTTTTAAAGCCTTTTTATTTTTAAAAAATATAAACTGGTTTGGCACAGTGGATAGAGCATCGGTCTGCGGACTAAAAGGTCCTGGGTTCGATTCCAGTCAAGGGCATGTATCTTGGTTGCGGGCTCATCCCCAGTAGGGGATGTGCAAGAGGCAGCTGATCGATGTTTCTCTCATCATCAATGTTTCTAACTCTCTATCCCTCTCGCTTCATCTCTGTAAAAAAATCAATAAAAAGATATATATACAATACATTTTATTTAAAAATCAATAAAAAATATATTTTTAAAAATATATTTTATTGATTTTATACAGAGAGGAAAGGAAAGAGATAGAGAGTTAGAAACATCGATGAGAGATAAATACTGATCAGCTGCCTTCTGCATGCCCCCTACTGGGGATCAAGCCTGCAACAAGGTACATGACCTCAATGGGAATCGAACCCGGGACCTTTCAGTTTGGCTCTATCCACTGAGCCAAACTGGTCAGGGCACGACTCCCCTTTTATCTTATCTGCTACCATCTCCCCCAGCTCCAGCATGAGACCTGGCCCACATGGATGCTTAATAACCTTTGATGGAGAGCTGGAACCCGGAGCCAGGAGGGTAAACCAAGGCCCACGGAGACTGGCTGACTCACGTTAGCAGGACCGAACACCTCAGGGCCTGTGGGGATTGCCTCAGATCCCGGGCCATGCCCAGGACGTAGGGAGTCACAGCCCGTGTGGTGGAGGAAAAATAGGAACCCAGACATGCAAACTGGCCAGCACGAGTCCACACGGCCACATGTGCTATCTGTGCTCTGCATTAGGAAGGATTCGAGGCTCAGGGGAAGAGAAAACTGTGATCGGCTGGTGATGTCTGCCACGGGTGTGGACTAGGAATGGGGTTGTTTGTCAGGCACCTGCACACCTGGGCCTGCTGCAGACTGGGCATTTTACACACTGAAGGCTCCCAACAATTCTACACCTAGGCGGGAATTGTCTCCACGTTACTCATAAGGAAATCGGGCTCAGAAAGGGACACCGAGCCATGCAGGGGCACCTTCCAATAGCTTCAGGGATGCTAAAGGGTCAATCTGATAGACCCATACTATACCTCAATGATGTTTGCCGGGGCAGAGTGTAGAGGAAGATTCTAAAGCACAAAGGGAGAAGAATACAGCGATGAACTAATAATATCTGTCATGGGCAAGGTACGGAAAACACGATGGTGATGGACAGTGTCAGCCACAGGCAGAAGGCTGGGCCAAGGCCACAATAAATGATCAGAAACGCATGCTCCATTAACAGCTGCCTCGTGTGGACTGGGAAAACGGAGATTCATTAGGAATGTCATGGTGGGAAACTGGTGCTTGATTTGTAATGTCTCTGCCTTGGCATAAAATTAAAGAAGAAAAAGCAAAAACCTGATTAGTGGTGCCTGCCATGGGCTCAGGATTAGTAATGTCTGCTTGCTGTGGGCATGGGATTTGAAAAGTGTTCGCTGTTTAGTCATGTTTGCCACGAGCACAGCATTGCCAGATTTGCCACCCTCTACCGCGACAAGGTTGGAGTTTATCAACCTGTTTGCCCAGAGAGGGGAAAGGTGCCAACACACAAGGCCATCGGCCTCAACTGGGTAAGTCCCCAGGCTTGTGCGGGCCCTTACCTTTCTTGATCTTGGGGGCCGGGGTGATGGAGCTGCCGTTGGTGCTGGTGGCCAGGCCCAGGGAGGACACGGGCAGCTTGGGTGAGGAGAGCATGCTGTGGGCACCCCCTGGTGAGTAGGCGAAGAGGGAGCCCCCGAAGCTCTGGCGCCGGCCCTCCCGCCGGTTGCTGTCGATGGCCGCCTGGAGCTCGTTGGGGTTGCTGAGGCCCCGTTTCTCACACTCGTAGGGGTACAGGTACTTCATGTACCTGGGGGGCGGGGAGAGTGGACAAGGGGGCGCCTGGCACGCCTCCCGTGACTCCCTGCTGCCCTCGCATTCCCGCGGTGGCACCACGTCCCCGCCCTCCGTCACGCATCGCTGCCAGGGAGTCCCTCGACGAGGCTGAGCCCGGCGCATGGCTCATGCTGTTCCCGGTCTCAATGCTTGTCCCCATGACTGCCTCCCACTCATCCTTTAACCTCGGAGCCAGGAACTTCCTGAAAGCCCCACCCACGGCTCCCAGGATGCAGACTCCTCACTGGCCCCAGGCCCTTCGCGCTCGCACACTCACTGGGTCCGCAGGGTGAAGGCGGCGCTGGTGATGGACGTGGGCAGGTTGAGGCCCTTGGTGATCTCGCGCCACAGCTTCTTGTTGATGACCTCCACCAGGCCGCCCTTCTCCGTCACCAGCACGTACAGCATGAACAGGTCGAGCACCTGCTTGGCCATGATGGGGATCCGATTCACAGGCGTCCCTGCGGGGGAGGAGGAGTGAGGGGAGGGGTGGCTGTGGCAGGGCCAGGGCCCCCCAGGCAGTCTATGGCTCACACACAGTTGCAGAGCAGGGTCTCCCCGCTGTGTGGACATCAGGGGGGTCACTGAGGGATGCTGAGCAGCGTCCCTGTGCCCACCCACTCGATGCCAGCAGCACCCGCAGTAATGACAACCACAGGGCTCCCTGACATGGCCCCGGGTGAGACCCATGCCCCGCTCCGGGCCGTACTAAGGTAACAGCTCTGCCTCAGTTTCCTTTTCTTTTTAAAGATCCGTTTTTATTGATTTAGGGCACGCGAGCCGCGGTTTGCCGCTCTGTTGACTAATGAGTTTGCCGACCACTGTGTAAGGCATTACCCTTACCCAGAAGTTTTGACTTCAGGTTAAAGACATGAATACATTATTAAAATGTTTGTTTTCTTTAAGTGTTTTTCCCTAAGGCAGTGGTCGGCAAGTGCATTTGTCAACAGGGCGGCAAATCCCGGCTTGTGAGCTGCATGTGGCTCGAGAGCCGCAGTTTGCCAACCACTGATTTAGGGAGAGGGAGACAGAGAGAAGCTTCGATGAGAGAGCAAGACGTTGATTGGCTGACTCCTGCCCGCCCCCTACCAGGAATCAAGCCTGTAACCTGGGGCATGTGCCCTGACTGGGAATCGAACCAGCAACCTTTCAGTTCATGGGATGATGCCTACCCAACGGATCCTCATTGACCAGGGCCTGCCTCCGGCTCTCTCAGTGATCTGACTCATTGCTCAACTCAACGGCGGGGAGGAGAGGAGTGTGGAGAGGGAGATGCTGGGGGCCCATCTGGGGAGGAGCATGAGAAATGCTGCCTTTGTTGTTCCTGCTCCCATCACCAGCCGAACAGCTGCCCAAACAACGGCCCGAGCGCCCAGGCCGCTCCTCGGCGGCTGCAGTGTGGTGTGAGGGCTGTGTTGGAGCGGGAGCCTGGTTAACCCACGCAGAGCTGTGGCTCCCACGGGGGGCAATCGAGAACGAGTTATTAACAGTGAGTCTTGCATTTCTCATGGTGTTAGGGGCCTCTATACAGTGTATAAACATATATTGTGACATATTTATGCATTTCGGTTCTCTGTTATATGTTTTGAAACTTTATGTGCCATATTTTCATACTGATATCATTATTTTTTAAAACAATTTAGTGATTTCTTCCTAGGGACTTCAGCTGTTGTTTTACTTTCCTCTGTCATGGATGCCTGTTCTTTGGAAGCTTGTTTAGACCAAGCTTTTGAGGCTTCCTCCACGTGAACAGGAGCTCACTTTTTATATAAAACAATTATATGTGGGGGGGCGCGGGGCATCAGGATGTTAGAGATGCTTACGTAGGTGGGGCGTGGCCACAGAAAGGTTGGGAACCACTGACTGAGAGGGGGGCAGTGGGCAGCCCAGGGAGGGGAAGGCTTGTCCAGGGAGGAAGGGCAATGGGCTAGCTCCATGAGGGGCAGACTGCCCCCTGCAGATAGGCCTGCTCCCTCTCCTGCCCACCTGACCTTCTATATCCTCTTCCCCAGAAGCTCCCAGCCTCAGAGCCCTCAGATCTCTGTTTGACCAAGGGTAGAGAAAGCCCGTGCAAACCTCTCTCTGGCAGTGGGCCCTGGTACACCGTCTAGGCAGCCCCTCGCCCTGCCAGCTCACACGGACCCTCAGTGCCCAGCCTGGCAGGCAGCACGCGTTCCATAAACAGTGAAGGCTGACAAGCTACATCTCAGCGACAGGGTCATGGCTGCCCCCCGCCCCCGGAGATGGGCAAAGGGGGCTGGGGAACGTGACCGGACGGAGGAGGTCCGCGTGAGGGGCCAGCGTGCCTGTCCCAGGGGCCTGGGCGACGCCCTCCACCTCTGGACATTCCAGAACCACCCCCCGCCACTGCGTGGCTGCTCTCTGGCCCTTCCCACGCTGCCAAATCCCCAATGAACTGAGAACCACCGGGAGCGGGACAGGAAAATGGACCTCGGACCTTCCCCCAGCCCAGCCCATCCCCCAATGTCATTTTCAGCCCGTGGGGGAGAGAGAAAAAGCAACACCAGTGTCAGCACAGGGGGCCGGCCGGAGGCGTGGTCCCAGCGCCATCCTGCCGGACCCAGACTCGGGCTCTGCCTGGTGGGGGAGGGGGCGGGAATTAAGGAATCAGATCCTCAGGGCTCGGCGGCGGGCAGGCAGTGGGGCCTGGACAGATGTTTATAGAAGGAGGGGGCTGGGAGAGCACAGAGCGGCATTGATGGTGGACAGCCAGGGCTGGGGGAGATAAGAAAGGGTGGGGAGGTCGTCAGGGAAACAGCAGGAGGGCGGGGTGAGGCTTTTACTGTGTGACCCTCTGTCTGGAGAGTGCGGCGTCCTGGGAGGAGGGGGTCTGACGGATCCTCTCCCCCAAAGGCCCCCAACGGCAGAGGAGGAGGGTCCGAGAAGGTGGCAGGGAAGGGAGGGCCTCGGAGCTGGGTTTTGAGAACCGCGTAGGAGTTTGCCGCCACCCACCCTCCGGGAGCACCTGTCCTCGTGAAGAAGGCAGGACTGGACACCCCTCACAGCCTGGTTGGCAAGGGGCTGGACTGATGTCTCTGCCCCCCCCCCCTCACTCACACCGGGGCAGCTAGCTCACAGTGCTCTCTAAGCACCTCAGAGACACAGGTAACTGGTCCTGGGAAAATGGTAGGCTCCAGGCCTGGACACTCTGAGCCCCATGGCAGGGGGCAGGAGGGAGGGCTTGGGCAAGTGTGGACAGGCCGATAAAGGGAGAGGGGGAGCTCTCTGGCCACACAGGGGGCAGCAGCCCAGGCAGGGGCTGGGCTGGATGATAACAGGATAACATGAGAGGGGCCCACACCCCGGGGCTGGTCTACGTTCTTCCATCCCAGCACAGGAGGGGTTAACCAGAGGCTGCAGCCCCCTCCCCTTTCCTCTCCTTCCTTCGGGGCCTGACCAGGCCTGTGTTTATAGAAGCTACTGGTGAGGGGGGGTGGGCAGAGGCCCAGGACAAAGCAGCAGGGGCCAGGTCCCTACAATGGCCTGAGTGGACCCCGCAGCCCCACCCCTTCCTGCCCCTGTGGCCCCAAGGCCATGTGCCCTCTCTGGGCCTCAGTTTCCTTCTCGGAACCACGGGGGCTGTCCAGGCCGGAGGAATGAGCCCCGCCCTGCAGCGGCCATTCCTAAAACAGGCCGGGTGTCCCCTCCCATTGGCAGCTCCACGCTGAGGGCGAGGCCAGGGGGCCTCTGGGGACCCCCTAGCTGCCCCTTGTCCGATCTGAACCTGAGTCACCCCACATGCCTCTGATATCTTCCACTGTCTGAGCCTCAGTTTCCCCGCCCACTCACTCACCCGGACCAGCCCCCGCTCCTCATGTCACCGTTCTCACGGCCCAGGCATTTCCTGGTGGGGCCTGGTTGGTGTCCATCTCACCCCAGCCGGGGGGGGGGGGGGGGGGAGGAAGAGAGGGGCTGGGCTGCAGTGCCAGGGAAACTGCTGGCACTCCGTAAATGCAGCGTGGGGCATTGCAAACAGCAGGGACTGTTGGTGGCCCATCTTACAGACGGGAACCAAGGCCCCTAGGAGCAGGGGAGGGGCTGTGGCACGGAGGGCACTCTAAGCCACGGGAGCTTGGAGCTGCATGGAGAGCTTCCGTTCTGTTGCTCCAGTGCCCACTTGCCTACCTGTGGATCCAACCCCATCCTCCGAACAGAGGCCAGCCCCGCCCCCCCGCCAGTGTGGGGGATCCTGGGAGCCAGGACCCCGTCATATCCTCTGTCTCAGCAGCAAGGGAAAAAGCTGAGCCGCCCTCCCCCAGCAAAGCGGACCCCTCTGACCCTCACAGCTGTGCCTCCCCCTCAGACCACACATGGCACGGCCACGTCCCCCCTCAGACACCCCCTGCATGCCTCCAGCCAGGAAACTCAGGGCCACTCTGACCCACCAGCCCCCAAGGCGGCGGCTGGCAGGGCCCCCCTTCCCCGTGGTGCCCAGTTCCCACCACTTCCCAGCGGGCAGGCCTCACCTCGCTTCTGCATGAAGCTGAACAAGTCGTCCAGGAACTCCTTCCTCTTGGGGTCCCCGTCCAGTTCGTAGAGCTGTGAGGGCGAGGAGGGGAACAGTCACCGGGTGCAGAGCTCGGCACAGGCACCCTGTCTCCGTCACCAGGAGCCGCGGAGGGGCTGCTGACCGGGATGGGCACTGGGGGCCCCAGCACCGCCCGGGCTTCAAGCATCTCCGAGGCCCCACAAGCAGTGACCTGCCCCCCACGTTCAGATGAGGACAGAGCCATCGACGAGCCTCCCAGGGCGGTTTAACACAACAGGTTTATCCTCCTGCAGTTCTGGGCTGGAAACCTGCGATCCAGGTGTGCCAGGCCAAGCTCCCTCCTGAGGCTCTGGGGAGGGTCCCTCCTGCCCCTTCGAGCTCCTGGCAGCTCCGGGGATCCCTGGGCTTGTGGCTGCATCGCCCCAGGCTCTGCCTTCGCTGTCACCTGGCTCTCCTCTGCGTCCAAATTCCACTCTTCCTACAGGACACCCGGCACTGGACTTAGGGCCACCTCATCTCATCCCAATGCTTGACAAATGGCATTTGCAAAAACTCTACTTCCAAATAAGGTCCCGTGCACATCATTAAAAAAAAAAAAAAATCATTTTAGAGAAAGAGGGGGAAATGAGGGGGTGGGGGGAGACCATCAATTTATTGTTCCACTGATTTATGCGTTTATCGGGTCGCTTCTCATTTGTAGCCCGACCAGAGACTGAACCTGCAACCTAGGCTATCGGGACGATGCTCCAACCAAGCGGCCGGCCAGGGCTTAAACACATCACTTTGGGGGACACAGTTCACACCTGGCAAGTAGCCCAGGTCGTTGCCACGGTGAGGAGTCCCGACCCCGCACAGAGGCAGGGACGCTGCAGCCTGGGCTGTGAGGCCTCTGGGTCCAGACTCGGTCCCGGGCACCGGCTGCCTGGGCTTGCCAGTCACCGCAGGAGGGGACAGGGCCCCCTTTTGGGAGGCAGGGGGTCCTCCACCCCATTGACCATCACCTCCCAGGTGCTGGGGGAGAAAGCCAGTAGAGAGCATTCCAGAGTGAGGAGAACAGGGAAGACTCAGCTCTGGGGGATACAGCACTGTGGCTGCTGAACACGGTGGGATCGGGCCCCTGAAACCGCCTGGTAACCCAGCTCGGCTGGAATCATCCATCATTAGGGCCCAGAATGCCCCAGTACCCAGTCCCTCCGACAGGGAGATCCGGGGGCCCAGGGAGGTGGGCTTGTCAGGGCCAGCCATTCCTCAGCCACGCTGCCCCTCTCTGGGCCTCAGTTTCCCCATCTGTGTAAGGGAGACAAAATGGGGCCTCTAAGGCAAGGACTGGGGGAGGCAGGAGCCAGCCCTGGGTGGTCGAGGCCTTTGTCTCCATCCTGCCCGGCCAGGCGGGCCGGCCACATTCCTGTGCTGATTTACGGCGTCCAGGGAGGCCCACACTCCCCCCTGCCTGAAGGGCGTGGGCCCAGCAGGTGGACCTTCCATTGGCGTGCTCACGCCAGGCCTTGTCTGTCCACTCCCAGCCCACGTGACACGGCCGTGTCCCCGCCCCCACCCTCCTCCGCCCCGCCGGGGGTGTGAACTCACACACGCCTGGCTCCCGGCCTGCCTGCCCTGTGGGAGATCAGGGACAGGGCCTGTTTTGTTGCCAGAGCCTAGGAGGTAGCCGAGTGCACAGCAGTGGTGTGAGAAGTGCCAGTTAAGTGAACTCTGCTTTCCCAGCTGCAAGGCGGGCCTAGCGAGGCAGAGGGGGGGCCAGGTGCCCCCCAGATCCGTGGGAGGGGACCTTATTTTGAAACAGGACCTTTGCAGACGTCATTAGCGAAGATGAGGCCACACGGGAGGAGGTGGCCCTAACCCAATGACAGGGTCCTTCCTCATGAGAAGAGGTGGGACACAGACAGGAGGAGAAGCCACGTGGGGACAGAGGCGGACACTAAGCTGTGTGGCCACGAGTCCAGGGACCTGGGAGCCCCCAGAAGCCGGAAGCAGTGGGAAGGGTCCTCCCCAGCACCGGAGGAAGCTCGGCCGGGGACACCTTGGTTTCAGACTTCAGGCTCCGGGACACAGGAGGACAAATGACAGTGCTGAGCTGCTCAGTGTGAGGCTGTCGGTCATGGCGTGGAAACCCGTTCAGGGGCAGCGTGTTCCCCTCTGAGATCCTGACGCAGGGGAGCATGGCCTAGACCCCTTCCCTGGGCCCAGCCCTCCTCAGCCCTCAGCGCGCCTCCTGCCTCGGCCTCCGTCCTCAGAGGACACTGCGCAATAAACACAGCAGTGTGGCCCTCAGCACCTGCACTGCAACGACCCTCACAGTCCCGGTGGGAAACTGAGGCCCGGGGTGGAGGCCAGCTGCTCCATGACCCCTGGCAGAGGCGGCTGGCTCAGTGGGGGTGCAGGGGCTGTTAACCCCCGGGCCAAATGGTGGGCAGGCCCTGGTGGGGCCCGGGCACAGGATGAGGCCATAAAGGGGATGTGTGGTGAATACGGCGGCTTTAATAGCCGTGTCATGGGCAGCTGACTACAAAGCCGGGCAATAAAGGCTGCCCGGGCTTTATGGGGCTCTGGCCCCAAGTTCCGCACCCCCGCGGTGTGCGTCCCGCCCCGGCCAGCTGGACGGCGCTGCCCGCCCGGCCACAGGAACGGGCGAGCTGGGGACGGTGTCCAGGCCCGCGAAGTTGAGGCCACACGGGAGAGGTGGCCCTAACCCAACGACAGGGTCCGCTGGGGACAGCCCGGCTGCCTGTCCCCACAAGGCCCCGAGTCACACAGCCGGGCCATCACACACCCTTTACCACGGCCCAGCCTGGCTCCCTGGCTGCAGCCCTGCCCTCTCAAGGTGGACCAAGAGGTGCTGAAACCAGCCACCTGCCATTCCCAGGGCCACAAACCCAGGCCGGAGACTGGGCCAAACCCTCAAACTCCTCCTCAGGGCTGAGGCCTGAGGCAAGGGCCCCACATTCCTCCCTGAGACCCCATTTCCCTGGGACCAAGTGTCAGGCCCCGAGAGTGAGTCTCACTCTGGCTTTGTCTGGTTCTGAAGATGCCCACCCCTGCAGCCCACCAGGGCCCACAGACCCACAGCCTCGAGGCCGTCTCCCCTCTCCCCTGGCCACTGGCTACTTCTCTAACCCATCGGAGGTTCCACCTCCCGGCCTCCGGCCTGGCAGTTCCACCCGCCTGCAATGCCCTTCCCAGCTCTGCCCCCGCTGGCTCCCCCTTCATCCCGATGTCCCACCGCTTGAATGTCACCACCGAGGGCCCACCCTCCCTGAAAGAAGCCCCGGCCCTCAGGTGCCTCAGCCTCAGCCGGTCTCTCCCAGCCCCCTGCTCTCCCCTGGAGCACCTTTTTTCCTTGCTCACCCCCATCTCCCCCAACCTAACCCTCCTGTCACCCGACCCACATGGATTCACACCCTGATCTGGTCCCGTCCTTCAGCCCCCCAGAACGTTAGGGATTTTCTATCTCTTGTCCCCAGTGCCTGGAATTGGCCGCCCCACAGACACCCGTTAAATGGACCTGGGTTCCTCAGTGCCGCATAAACACAGGGACGCTCGTCCTTCCCCAAATCCAGCTACACCCTTCAAGCCGGGCCACGCTGTGACCTCCGCTGGGCTCACTTCCTGCCCCGTGACCCTTCTCAGGCCTCGGTTTGTTCAGCTGTGAAACGGGTGCAGTTCAAGCATGTGAGATGTGGATGTGAAAGCCTGGGTTGGAGGCACCCACAGAGGCTACCTTCTCCTCCCCACCTGCAGGTGGGGCCACTGGGGCACCCACAGCTCAACCCCGTGTCGGTGTCCACCCACAGATCACCAAGCGGGGCTGACTATGTGTCCCTCTCCGCCTCCCTAGCACCAAGCACTGCACGAAGGAGAAACTGAGACTCACCAGCCTGCCCCCCACCATACGCCCAGCAGCCAGAGGGGCTTTCCAGCCCGCCTCTCCCCGTCCTACAGCCCTCACCTCCCTCCGATTCAGCCCCTTGTGACTGCCTGCTTTCTGAACAAAATAAGCACCATCTCCCGCCTCAAGGTCTTGCAAGGACTGTTCCCAGATCTCCGCACAGCCAGTCCCTCCTTCCAGCCCAACATCACCCTCTCCGGGAGCCGCCCCTGCGCCCTCCCCCACCCCTTCCTTACCCTCTGACCCCTTCATCTGCTCCAGTTTCCTTCCGAGTGCTTTGCACAAAGAGCTCAATCCACAGGTCCTGACACTGCCCTCGCTCTAGGCCCAGCCTGAGGGTGTGGGGGAGGGAGCCGAGGTGCCAGGACCCGCTGGGGAGATCCCCCAGGGGCATGGGGCAGCCAGGTGAGGAGCAAACAAAGCCAGGAGGTCTCAGGGCTCGGATGGGGGGGGGGGGGGCGGGGGCGGGCGGGGGGGTGAGCAGGAGGAAAAATGAGGTAACCACCCCAACCACAAGGGTATGGTGGGCAAACAGGAAATTCTTGTTTGTGGCCAAACAGCATTTTCACCACAGCCAGGCAGGTTATCCTGCTGACCAGGCGCAGATAGCCCCACCCTGTCCTGGAGCTGGGGGGGTCCTCTGGAGCCAGAGAGCTCACCCTCCCAGAAACCCCTCCCAGCCTGCTTGCCCGGAGAGGAGAGAAAGGCCAGTGTGTCCACGAGCACATCCACAGTGACCCGTTGGGGTGGGGGTGGGGGTGACTCTCAGGGCCCAGCACACACGTCTCCTCCCCCGCTCCCAGCCCGCCGAGGGGCCCAGGCAGCCTTAGTCCTCAGGGGCCCGGGCTATAAACATCAAGAGAGAGCCCGCGGGCCCGGGAGGACCTTTGCTCCTTAACGGTGTCTGCTCAGGCGCCCTCCTGCCACCCAGGTGGCTCCAAAGTCCACGGGGCCCCACCTCTAGAGGAGGCCCGGGCCCAGGCCGCGCTCCGCGGAAGGCGGGACACGGCCGTGCAGGAACCCTGAGCCACCAAGCACCGGGCCTCTGTGGCAGACGGGAGTTCGCTAGAGAGCCGCCGAGCACCGGTGGCTTTCAGAAAAAGGCGTGTTTTTGTCCCGTCCAACACAGCTTCTAGGAAACCCGGGAAGTGTGTCTTTCTCCACGTCCAGAGCAGGCCTGCCAACACCCAGCCGGGCGGGACAGGCCTGGCCGGCCGCCTGTGCCCGCGGGACCGCCTCGGGCATTCCTGCGCCGCCAGGGTCAGAGAGGAAGGACTGATACCATCGGGCAGGAAGCGGGGAGCGTGCCGGAAGCCGGGCTGGCGCAGGCGGCTCTGTGCCGGGAGGAGCGGCCGGCCAGGCAGGGAGCCGGCCAGGCAGGGAGCGAGGAAGCCTGCAATCTGGGTGGATTCGGCCAGGGGCTTGAGTGCTTAAACTCTCATACTTGAATTCTTCAACAAAATATTCACGGAGGTGAAATTCACATGTAACACAGAATTCGCCAATTGAAAGTGAACAATTCAGTGCCGTTTCGGACAGTCACTATACTGTGCAACCACCACCTCTGTCTGATCCCAGAACATTCTATCTTCCCCTCCCCTTCCCCCCTCCCTCCCTCTGCAGCAGCCTCTGGCAAGCCACTAATCCACTTTTTGTGTCTGTGGATGTGCCTGTTCGTGACAGTTTCCATGGAACCACACATTGTGTGGCCTTTGTGTCTGGCTTCTCTCACTGAGCACCGTGTGTCCAAGGTCCGTCCATGCCGTCGCAAGTGTCAGCACCTCCCTCCTTTTCACGGCCGAGTAATATTCCCCTGCGGGCAGGGGCATGCTGGGTTCGCCTTGTGCCTTAGCTGACAGACACCCGGTTTGTTTCTAACTTTCGGCTCCTGTGAGCCGTGCTGCTGTGAATTTCACCTATTTTAACATCCTTCAAGTTTTGGACAAGAATTGATCCATTGGCCGAAACCGGTTTGGCTCAGTGGTAGAGCGCTGGCCTGCAGACTGAAAGGTCCCAGGTTCGATTCCGGTCAAGGGCATGTACATTGGTTGCAGGCACATCCCCGGTAGGGGGTGTGCAAGAGGCCGCTGGTCGATATTTCTCTCTCATCAACGTTTCTAGCTCTCTATCTCTCTCCCTTCCTCTCTGTAAAAAAATCAATAAAATATATTTTAAAAAAAATTTGATCCATTGTAATAACTTCCATAAGCAAAACGAACCGACAGTGAGACCAGGCGGAGAAGGGGGCGGCGGGTTTTTATCCCCCGGCTCCCATAAAACACCGAGAGCAGCCAGGGTGGGAGAGGACACCTCCCCGCAGCCTCCGCGGGCAGGAGGGCTGAGGGGCGTTCGTGTTTTTACAGCGAGAGCAGGCCGCGCCTCCCCTGCTCAGACGCCAACCCGGCTTCCCTTATTGGTCTCGGGAGAAGCATCCAAACTTGCTGCCTGGCAGGCCCAGAGCCAGCTGGCTCACTATCTCCCTCTCCTCTGTCCCCACGCTCACTGTCCTCCGCCCACACCAGCCTCCGCAGTCCCCCCACGCCCCGTCCTCCCACCCGGAGGCCCCCTCCTCCGGCCTGCGCCTCTCAGGCCTGCAGCCCTGACCCCCCCAAACCAGGCCGACCCAGCTGTCATGGTCCTGTGACCGTGCCTTTATTTCGGGGTGGCTTCTTCCTGTCTTCCTCCTTCTTCCCACCCAGAGGAGAGCCCCCAAGGGCACAAGTGGGGTCTCTGGGTACTGGGCAGAGACCCTGGTATACAGCAGGAGCCCACTAATGGAGGGAGGAGAGAGCATGCTCGGGCTCTCGCACCGCCCGGGTCTGTCTGTCCTCGTCTGAGGCCCCCCTCCCGCAGCGCCCTGCCCGCCCGCTGATAAAGCCCCTCCTCACATCGTGGGGCCGGTGAGGCCCTCACAGCCCCGACCGAGATGACTCAGCAGGGCCAGCCGTTGCCAGGCCCCAGGTGCTGGAGCAGGTCCCTGGGGGCCTCAGCCTCCCCCATTCACAGAAACGCCCACAGCTGCTGAGGGGAGGGGGGTGGGGCAGAACCCCACAGCCTCCGGTGCCTACGCTGGCATCAGGAACACTGACGTGGGCAGGGGGCTACCTGCAACCTGGGTGACAGGTCTCCGCCAACCACCTGCTGAGTGCCCGACCCGCCCTTTTCAACATGCATCAGGGCAGGGAGTCCGGGCCCAGGGCCCACACTCCTCACCCAACAGCGGGAGGCCCAGGGACGGCAAAACTGAGCCTGAGGCCAGGTCTCCCCCCCCCACACACACACACAAAGACACCCCCCCCCCCAGTAGGGACAAATAGACAATGGATAAATGAACAGAATCAGGAAGGGGCTCCAGGAGGCTGGGGGAGAGGTCGTTTGGGGCAGAAGAACCCGAGTCTGAAACCTTCCCTGCACCTCAGCCCTCAGCTGACCGATCAGGATGGAGGTGCTGAGCTACGTGGTCAGGAAGCCACCAAAGCAGCCCCTCAGCTCCGCGGCCCTCAGACGGCCGCCCAGGCGGGCCCTGGGCGCTTTGAATTTAAAACTCCCAGGTCACGGCGTAGAGGAGGCGGAGACTGCAGGAGAGCGGCCAGCCCACGGGGGCTTGACCAGGACAGACCAGCAGCCATGACTGAGCGCCTGTAGGTCAGGCCAACGCGGACGCTGAGGAAGCAGCGCGTGTGGGAGACCCGGATGCCCCGAGGGGCCCGGGCCAGCAGGCGCGGATCCCGTGGGAGCGGGGTCTTTGGAGGGGGAGGGGCAGAGTTGATCGCGGGAGGGGCTTGATCAATGTCTGTGGGACTTGGGGCCCTTCCCAGGAGTCACCCCCTGTGCACCTGACCCTGAGGGCACCCCCACCGGCCACTGGGCCCTTTCGCTTCCTGTCAGCGCTCCAGGCAGGGCCTCCTCCGCGCAGATGCTGCAGGGGGGGCCCCACCCGGCTGGAAGGAGATTGGGGAAGTGATTCTAGGCCGGGCAGAAACATCTGTCTGCTCGGGCACCCCTCCCCAACTGGCCTCATGTCCTTTCTCTGAAAAGAAATAGCACCCGTCCCCACCACAGATATTAATAAAAAGCTCTAGAAACAAGTCACAGAACCGGACCCACGAAGGCGCATCTTTCTGGGTTTCCGGAGCGCAGGCTCTGGAGGAGGGCCCTGACCTCCGGACCCTCGTCGCTCCTCGTCAGCCTTGCCTGTCGCCAGGGCCATCTGTGGAGCGGGCAGGGTGCACCTGGCGTCCAGGTGGAGATGAGGGACTCCTGGGGGGCAGGGGATACAGGGAGGAGGGTCCGGCTTCAGGAAGATGGCTGGGGGGAGGGGCAGCAGGAGGAAGCACCTCAGTGGCAGGACAGGGCTGGGGGCCCACCGGCCCCATGTCACATACCAGCAGGCCTGGCATCAGGATTCGCTCAGGACAGGGGTCACCAGACACTTCCAGGAAGTGGAGCAGAGGGTGGTTGTCCCAGGCTGTCATGCAAACGGCATACAAATCCCAGGAGCCCCCTCCCCACGGCTCCGGCCCTTGCTGACCACTATCCAGTGTGGACCCCACTTTACAGGCAGGGAAACGGAGGTGCTGAGAGAAAACCATGAAGGTAGACTCAAACCCAGATGGAGCCCAGGCTGCCCCTCAGTGCCTCTGGGGTGACTGCAGGGAGCACCCGCCTCACCAGCCTCACCAAGCGGGGAGGAACCCCTGCCCCAAACGCTCAGGGTCAGCAAACCCAGAGACTGCCTCCCCCATTCAGCGATTACTAATCGGAGTTCCACGCTGACCTGGGGCATTTCACAGGGGGCCCAGGCCTGCACAAGCCAAACATGACAATGTGTGACCCTGCCTGACCGCCGGCTTGGAGACGCCTCGGGTCCCAGCCCTGCGCCCGGGCCCGGCACCCGGGAATTAAAAATCTCATCCTGGGTTTCCTCAGAGAGGAACCGGCCCTGTTTCCCTGTCGTTGGGCCCCCAGGCAGTCCCAGAACACCTCAGAGGGACTTTCCTGGTGGCTGGAGCTGCTCAGAAAGCTCTACCTGCCCAGGGAGAGGCCCCGTCACTCCCGGCCCAGGTTCTCTGGACACAAACCCAGCGGTGCCTGCGACTTCAGGAGCGGAGACCAGGGGACAGACCCGCGGGCCCCGCCGCTGACCGGGTCCCCTCGGTGACGGGGCGGCTGCAGGCACAGCAGGAAGGAACAGGCTGCTTCCACCTCTGCCCCGAGGAGGGGCCCCCTGGGCTCAGGCCCTGGAGTTCCCACAGGGGCCACCCAGGAAGCCTCTGCCAGACCCCAGGCTGAGGGCAGGAAACAGGGACTTCGTGGGCCATGTTGGTGGCCAGCAGCCTCAGGGACCCCCACTTCCTTCAGAACAGTCTCCTGAGGGGAAGCATGGAGGAGAGAGGAGATGCCAGCCGGGCAGCCCTGGCCAGCACTAGACTGGCACCCACCACATTCCGCCCGCCCCTTCCTCCAGGACACCATGGAATGCCAGCTGCCTGCGCCTCCATTTGGTGAGGCTCTGCCCACACGGTGACGACCAAGAAATGAACAAACCCGAAGTGACTGCCGGCCCCACTTCCCTTCCAAGAACCGGGCCGCCATTAGCAGTCGCTGAGGGGACGGGGAGGGGGAGGCAGGCCCATGGCTGGGCAGGGCGGGGAGAGGGTGGCACCATGCACTCCACAGGACACTTGCCAGCCGGCTGGCCCTGGGAAAGCGGCAGTTGGGTAGGAATTATGGGGCATCGGGAGGGCGGGGAAGGAGGGGGGATGGGTGGGCGGGATACAGAGAGGGAAAGAGACAGAGAGACACCGGGAAGGGGGAGAGAGAGGGAAACCAGGAGGCTCCACTGACAGACAGACTCAGTCAGGGTCCCAGCCCCCCGGTTGTCCCCCGGCCGCCCAGCCCCATCAGAGAAGCTGACCCAGCCTGCACCCCAGAGAGAATCCACAGAGCTGGTCACAGACGGGGATTAAATAAGAGCAGAGGGAAGGGGCGGCCAGCAATGGGGGGCCCGTTAGTGCTGGGGGCTCGGAGCCTGGGCAGGTGCCCTCTTGGGTGGGGGCCTCACAAGCCCAGAAGACCCACACTGGCAGCAATGAGCTCACACCACTGTTCGGGGTGGGGGGTGGGGGCACAGCCTGACAGGGCAGAGGCAAGGGTGACCGTGGGGCAGACCCTTCCGGGGGCAGGAAGAGAATGGGGCACAGCCCTGAGGCGCAGGTCATCCTGGCCACGCGAGCCTGGACAGAGGTGCCAGGCAACCCCCAGGACACCAGCAGAACGCATGTGTACCTCGTCAACAATCCCACCCAGACAGAAACCACCAGGCCTGACCCCGCCCAGCCTCATAGCCCCCCACCCTGGACCTCTCTGTGGCCAGGGACTCACAGACCCTGCTGACGGGCCCACGGCTCTGCCCACCCTGGTGTGGTCTCCCAGTGCCCACACGGACACGCCCGTCCTCCCAGACACGGACACACACAGACACACCCTTGTTTTCTGGCTCGAAGATAATGGCTCAGACAGCCTGCCCTTGGCCGCCCGCCTACCTGGCCCCCACACTCCCCCTTCACCAGGCACTCCTGTCTGTTTTCTTTACAGATTCGTCCCCAGTGCCCAGAATGGGGCTGGCATACAGCAGGTGCTCCCTACACACTTGTGGAAAGACCAGGCCTAGCCACGTGCACACAGGTGCACAGCCGACTCTGCCTGACCCCGTCCAGGACCTCATGGGCGGGACGGGAGGGGTCACCCCACTCGGACCGATTCCCAAAGCAGAGTCGGCAGCTGGGGGGGTCGGCCATCCGCATCACGTGCTGAGAGGCCCTGGCTCCCTGCGGTGCCCACCCGAGCACCACGTCAGGGGCCACACCTTCCTCAGGTTCTGAATTATTTCCCGGGGCGGCCGGAAGCAAGCTACAGGCGGCGCCTTAAACAGTCGTTCATTCTCTCACGGTTCCGGGCCAGACATCCCAAATCGAGGTGTCCCACTCCCTCCCGAGGCTCCAGGGAAGGCCCCTCCCACCCTCCCAGTCTCCTGGGGCCCAGTGTCCGGGGCTTGTGGCAACATCACCCTGACCTCTGCCTTCTCCTCCCTCAGCTGTCTGTCTGTCTGGCTGTCTGTCTCCCCGCCTGTGCCTGCTCTCCTGTGCTTAGACTTGGGGCCCACCCTACTCCGGTCTGACCTCATCGTAACTAATTATATCTGCAAAGACCTTTCTCCTTCGTCTGGGCGGACAGAGTGTGTCCCAGATTCACTTCTGCGGGGGGGCCCCTGGGGCCGAGGGGCCCGCAAGGGCGGTGAGCGGCCCTGACTACACCTTCCCTGGCCCCCGCCCCTCAGCCCCGAGACCCCCGCCTGCCCGACCGCGGGGCAAGGCCAAGTCCCGAGCTGAGGCCTTCAATAGGCAGACTGGTTACCGTTTAACCCTGTGACCCCTAATTGTCCTCTGGCCGGCGCAGCCAGGCAGTCAGAAAAGGGGCGGTCTGCACCCCGCCCCCGCGCATGGCCACCCACCGGCCGGGACCCCCAGCGGCTTCCCCATCCAGGCAGCCGTGGAGCGCAACCGGACACGGTGACAGCATGTGAGGGGGTGCTGGGCTCTCCCACGGCTGAGGGGGACCCCCCACCGGATCACCATAGGTGGCGCTGGCTCTGGGAATTAGAACATTTAGGGGGTTGAAGGGCCTTTGTGTCAAGTGTAAACACTGGGGCAGCGTGGGCCAAGCCCTGGATCAGAGAGGCCGCAGCCCTGCCTGACGTCACACAGCACGGGCGGAAGGAATCGAGCAGGGTGGGTGGTGGGAGTCTCCATGGCGCCGGGGCCCTGTCAGCACTGCAGCCCGGCGAGGGCGGCTGACCCGCTCCTGGGCTGCCGATGGGAACCACTGACCGGGGACCTGACTTTCCGGTTAACAGTTAACGGGCGCCACCGAGCCCTCGTGCTGCACAGGGCAGGGGGAGCCCGGTGGCAGCAGGCACGCGAGGCTCACACACAGGCACTGCGGGAGCTGGCCGTGTGTACGTGCTCTCACACATGAGTGCTTGCAGACCCCACCTACACGGCCACGTGCTAACAGAGGCACAGGAGCCTGTCACCCCATCACACAGACACCGGAGCCCTGGAGGCACCGGAGTCAGCTCGCTCTGCGACATACAAGCCCGGTCACCCCCAAGTGTGTCCGGACCCTAGGACCGACTCAGCAATATGTCCACGTAAGCTGGAGACGCATCACATGGTAAGCACGTGCAGACATACACACAC